TTTTAATAAATTTATTTAATCATTTTAATAATTTTTAATAGTCAACTAAGCTGTATTTTAAAACAGTAATGTTTAATAATTTTGGTGGAGGCGGAGTGTCATGTGTCGGTGATGTTTTGCAGGTGTTTGGGTATTTGAGCGGGATCATCGAGACGATCACCACGGCGATGCGGTATGAGCCGTCGAACGCCAAGCATTTCCAGACGGAGATCAGGTGGACGGCGCTGACCGATGCGCTGCGACTGATCGGCTGCTTTTCCGGCACGCGCGTGCTCCCGAAAATCCTGGACAATCCCGAGCAAAGTAATTTAATTAATTTTAAGAAATTATTTTGGAATTTTCCGGACTGAATGAAATTAATGAGTGGATAAATTTGTTTAAAGAATTAAATCGTAAAAATGGATTATTTGATGTGGATTTTTGGAAATTAAATATTACTAAATTTAATTCTAAATTGGCGAATTAATTTGGTTGAATTTCTGTAGGTAGATTTTTTGATTGTAGAGAGCGGCGATGATGGGGATTTTGGCGCGACGTTCTTCCATCCGGAGACGGTGGCTTTTGGGGCGGACGCGCTGCACTGCGCCTGTTTAGTCTTCCGCTGTTTGTACTTGATGGCCCTGGACGGCTACCGGCACGGCTGGGCCGACAACTTCGAGGCGCTCCTCAGCGACGCCGCCATCGTGCACGCCGGCGCCGTCCTCGTCATCCTCGATCTCCTCCCCTCCCTCACTCCCCAACATTCCGTAAGCATCTCCCTTTATTGCAAATTATGTGATTATACATAATACTGCCTGTATTAACTCAAAAAAAAATTAAATAAGGAAAAAATGATAAAATAAATTGGTTGTAGAATTGGATGTCGTTGTTGGTGTTCGTGTCGGAGCTGCTGAAATCGCTGGTGCGGCACGAGCGCAACCAGCAGTTGATGTGCGAGGCCGGGATGGTGCAGGATCTCTTATCCGTCTGCGAAGCGGCCCTGGCGGATGAGGAGCACCCCCTGAACCCTTTTATGCAGTACATCCTCGAGCGGTTGGCGGCGCAGAGTCTGCGTCCGCGCGAACTACGGTACAGCTCGTTAATCGTTTTAAAAAAGGCGGTGTTGACCTTGTGCTTCGTGTAGGAATCTGTTGCGGCTGCGCTTCGTGCAATCCGGCTGTCAGCTGCCGTTGTCGCGCATCAAGACCCTCGTGTCGATGATCAGTCTGCGCGACCGCGAGAGCACCATGCCGCCGGCCTTCGTCGAGTTCGACCTGAGTTACGAGGGCTTCGGGGGGCTCTACCTGCCCTCTATCGCGCCGCAGAGCCCGCCCACCTTCGCGCTGCACGGCAGTCTCGCCGCCAGCGAACCCGCAGGTATTTTTCTATTTTATTTAATTTTACCGTGTTAAATAATTTCTTCTTTTTATTTATTTTTTATTTAATAATGTTAAATAACTGCAGTTTATTTTTAACTGGATAAATCTAGCGATTTTTTTACAACTGCTTTCAATCGTAAATTTAATCACTGTAACTATCGAAAAAGTGTATTTTATTAATAATTGATAATTAAAATGGTAATAAATTTATTAAAATTAAAATGTCAATTAGGAAATTTAAATGATTATTTTTGATGAATTAGTGATTAAATTTGGTTGCACAGGCATCGTCGGCGGCATCGGCAGCGGTCTGCGCGTGTTCCCGCCGGCGGGCGGCCTGAGCCTGGTGACGTGGTTCTGCGTGGACAGTTGGGCGGCCGGCGAGAGCATCCGGCTGCTGGACGTGACGCGCCATCTGGCCAAGCCGGCCGACAACCTCACCTGCCTCTCCGTGCACTTGATCCAGCCCGGCAACAGCAGCGGCAACGGCGGCGGCGGCATCAAGCTGCTGGTGTCGACGCGCGAGCACAACAGCGCCGAGAACCCCGAGGCGGAGGCCGGCGGCGACACCGTGCTGGCCGACGTCGGCGTGCTGAGGGAGCAGGAGGGCCACTGGCACTGCATCGTCGTTGCACTGGTATGACACTAATTCGCCATCGGATTTTATATTCCTTTTTCTTATATATAGAAGTATATGACATTGTAGTGTTGCGGCTACGCGTAACTGTTGCTGTAGCCACTACACTACAATATATTTTCCCGGTGTATTTTTGGATCTTTTTGATTAATTTTTTAAAGGGCAAGACACTAGTGAAATCGGGATATTGCAACATCTACCTGGACAGCCGTAATCTGGGCCAGTTCAAACTAGCCTACATCCCGCAGAATCCGGGCGGCGGCGCGGCCCATTTGGCCACAGGTGAGCATTTTGAGTATTTCTTCAATAAAAATGCTTATCTTATTTAACAATAATTTTCCACTGCTTAATTTGATGAATTGAAATTGATTTTGGTGTTTGTAAGATTTTCAGTATTTAACTTGACAATAAATTAATTCGGAATTTAATGTGATAAGAATTTTCCATAATTGACCTAATTCGACAAGAAAACTGATTCAAATTCACATAAAATAGAATTAATTTTCATTTAAGCAGAATTTTTGGTAATTTGATTGAATAATATGTTTTATTGAACAGCGGCGTCCATTTCCGGCACGGTGGGCACCCAGCCCATCCAGCGCAAAGCCTGCAAACTGCGCTGGCGCCTGGCCAACATGTTCCTGTTGGAAGAGGCGCTCAACCAGGCGCAGGTGAGCCTGTTATCCTCGCTGGGCCCCGGCTACCACGGCAACTTCCAGGACCCGCAGTGCGCCGCTTTAAATCTCCCCGACGACAAGGTGCTCCTCGGACTGAATCCCTTAATGGTCACCGAGATGTCCGTGGCCCGCATAAGGAAAATCTACAATAAAGACGACAGCAAGTCCATCGCCCGGCATCTGGCGCTGTCCTCGCACGACGCCAGCACGCCCGTCAAGTTGATCCACAATTCAGCGGCGCATCTGCGCGGGACCGCCCGCGGCATCGGCTCCGCCGTGGTCGGCTATCTCGGGGTGCGGCTCTTTTCCCCGCGCCCGGCGCACCAGGCGCTGCTTCCCATCGGCGGGATTTGGCCGCTCCTCGGGATGGTCAGTGACTATTTATTTTTTGTATTTATTTTGGCGTTTATTTGTATAGTTATTTTTTATTGTATCTTTACACACTTTTTTGCTATTTATTTTTCCCTTTTTTGTATTTACTTTTCATAGATTTTTACATGTTTCAGTTTTACACTAGTTGTATATTTTAATTTACATTTTGTTTATTTATTTTTGAATTTCTTGGACATTTATTTTTATAAATATTTTTAGGTTTATTTTTGAATTTATTGTTTTTTAGGTGGGCATGGCCAACGACACGGAGTACGTGTACGCGGCGATGAAGTGCTTGTTCTGCGCCATCCGCACCAACAGCTTCCTGCGCGATCAGATGGTCAGCGCCGGCGGCTTCCAGTTCGTGGGGATGATGCTGAAGCGGAAGAAGGAGTGCCTGAACGGACACGTGCTGCACCTGGCCTTCTCCATGATGGCCGTCACCGGCCAACACACGCCCCACGCCGCCGCCATGCTGCCGGCCACTGCCACGGCGGCCGGGACGCAGCCGGGCGCCGAGCGCGAGGTTGCTGCCCGCGAGAATCTCGGCGATCGCAAGGCCCTCGAGGATCTCCTCTCCGACATCCAGGTCAGCAAAAAATTTTACTGGTGATCAGATCAAATAACTAAATAATTTTTAATGCTTGTTAGATGATATTCGTATTATTTTTAAATTTATTTGTGATTAATAATTATTTTTGATTTTAACAATTTATTATTATTTTAATATTTTAATTTAATTCGGAGACTTAATTATAAAAATGTAAAAAAACATAAAAATTTAAAATACTTACTGTATTTGAAATTTTTATTCGATTTTTCTATAACAAAATTAAATTGAAAAATATTTGCAGTTGTGGCAGTCTTGCAACGCGGAGCTGCAGCGCTCGCTCCTGGAGCATTTCGTGGAAATGTGCAAAGAGGGCAACTCCAGCGCGAAACTGCTATGCGAAAGCGGCCTAATCCGCAAGGTCTTCCAGTTCCTGCTCATCTCCGCCGGCAACGACGCCCTGGACCCGCAGGTCCTCCAGACCGCCGGCGAGCTCCTCCGTCTCTTGCTAAAGAGCTCCGGGAAGAGCAACAGCGACGTGTTATCCTTCGCGCAGTACCTCATCTGCAGCATCCCCTCCACGGCCGAGTCCCGCCTCACCCCCGCCGTCGCCATCCGCAACACGGGCCTCACCATCATGCGGCACCTCTCCGAGACCTACGCCGACCTGGTCTCGGCCTTTCTCGGCTTCGACTGGCTCCTGTCCTTCCTGCACCCGCCCTCCACGTCCACTCCTCGTCCTGGTCCTGGAGACCCTCACGGACCTCTTACTCACCCACCCGGCCAACCTGGCCACCTTCCGGGACGGCCGGCACTTCGGGTCGTGGCTGCGGGACCCGGCGCCGCGCCGCCACCGCTCCGAGGCGCACCGCCTCATCCCCAGCCACCAGTCCAGCCTCCAGCCCAACCTGGAGCTGGTGGCGGTGTCCGGGTGGACGGCGCTGCAGCTGCTGCTCCCGGAGGTGGCGCGGCTGAGTGTCGCCTGGATGAACGTGCTCGGGCTCTTCGTCGGGCGCCGCGCCGACGTCCGCGAGGACCCCGAGGTGGCGCTGACGCTGGACAGTGTGTGGTGGAACCTCTTCCAGACCAGTCCGGGGATGGCCATCAAGCTGAAGGACTGCCACATCGTCTGCCCGGAAGCGGTCTACGTCCTGCTGTCCATGGTGCGCGGATGCATCGAGCAAGGGAGTTCCGACAACGCCAACTGTGTCCTGCAAGTGCTGATCTATATGTACCATAATTGGACGGGAGATTCTCGCTGTTCGCCGCCACGCCCGAGTTTGTCGGGGCGCTGGCCGGGTGTCTCTTCACCGCGAATGAAGAGGATCCGCTCTTTATTAACAAAGCGTCCAATTCGCGCCGGTTGCTTCTCGATCTGCTGCGGATGCTCGTCACGGTAATTATTTTACAAGAAATCGCAAGCGTTGCCATTAATCTATATTAAAAAATCGGATTTAGTGAATTTTGTATATGTCGAGAAATTAAAAGTAATAAAAAAGAATAAAAAGTATTAAAAAAGAAATAAAAATTGTGTACTTATTTAAAATTAAAAAATTATGGTTTCTTAAAAATTATTACCAATATTAATTATCTTAAAAATTATTTTTGCGTAAATTGCAGGATTCGCTGGCGTTGCCGGCGGAAAAATGTCAATTAATCACGGAATCTTGGCTGGAGGCGGCGCCGGACACCTGCAAAGCCTCCCAGGTCAACGCCTACCAGACGGAGATGGCCGCGGTGCTGATGGAACACCTCCTGGCCCTCAACGTCCTGGTGGACACCTCCGGATGTGGATCCACCCTCCGGCCACCGCCACCACGTCCCGCCCAACATCTTCCAACTGGCGCAGCGCCTCGTCGACAAACTGTGGAAGGGCGCCCTCCCCAAACTGGACATGCCCATCCTGGACTTCCTCCTCCAACTGTTGACCGCCGGCGTCCGGGACGCCCCCTCCCGCATCCCGGCGGGCGTCCTGGACGCCGGGTTCGCCGCGCTGGACCGCCTGCTCATCTGGCAGATCGCCCGGCCCACCGACACCGTTACCAACCAGATGGCCGTCCTGGACGCTCTCCACAAACTGGTCGACCACCGCGGGCTGATCTTCCACCCGGGGAACCAGGACCCGGGGTTCCTGGGGGCGTTGGCGTACTGCCTGAGCCTGATTGTGGACCGGGTGCCCATCAGCATCGAATCTGGGACGGGGAGCACCTGGCACGCGTACCCGGAGAGCGGCGGCGCCGTGGCGGAGGGCTGGGGGCTCCTGGAGTCCGCCGCGGGGTCCCTGTGGGGCGTGGTGGTGGAGTCGCGGGGCGGGGCGTTGCGGGAGATGCTGCGGCCGCCCCGGGGGGTGCTAGAGAGCGACCTCCGGGACGTCAAGGAGTTCGTGCGGGAGGTCACCGCGAAGTATTGGTCGGCGTTCCTCGACGCCGGGGAGCGGCGCAGTCAGCCGGCGCCGACGCCCGCCCCGGGCGGCGGGGTGGGCATGAACATGGCGGCGGTGAAGAAGGCGCTCCCGAGCTCCTTAGTGCGCGCGTACACCATCCGGCAGAAGGCGCTGCTGAAGCAGGCGACCCTCCCGCCGGCCAAGATCAGTCCGGCGCTGTTCCTGCACCAACTGCGCCTGCACTGCCTGCTGGTCAGCCAGTACGTCGCCGAGCAGCTGAGCCATTTGCAGCGCGCGCAGAGCAGTCTGAACCGGCTGGTGGAGGACGAGTGGGCGCAGTGCGAGAGCGAGCAACTGTTAAGGGAGCGGGCGCTGTGGGGGCCCGAGGAGCCCTGGAGACTGGCCAAGTGGATGCTGGACAGCAGCGAGGGGCCCATGCGCGTCAGGAAGAAGCTGGTCGACAACGCCGACTTCTTCACGCACTACGCCTACCGCGAGATAATAGCCCCCGGGGGCGAGGTGGGCGTGGCCTGAATTATATAACCAATAAAATCAATTTAAAATTTAATGATAATATTTTTTTAATTAAATAAAATGATTATTGTTATAATTAATATTGAATTAAATCGTTGTGCGCAGACGGAAGGCGGCAAGCAGAAGGTGCGCTACCCGGTCAGCTGGGACTCCAAAGCGTATTTCGAGGAAGAACAAGCCGGTGGTCGCGTTAAAACTCTCCTGCGAACCACCACGAAAAAGTCGGAGCAAAGCGACGGCGCTGCGATGGAGACGCCCAACGGCGCCACAGACGAGGACGCTACCGCGCTAGACGGTAAACTGGGGGCGGTTGCCATAGCGACTGCATTTAAAAATAATTTTATTTAAAAAATGAATTAAAATTCAAATTAAATGGGAATGAAATTTAAATTACATTAAAAATCCGTTGGTGTTGTTGTAGACATGGAGGAAGAGCAGGAAAAGGGCGAGGAGGAGGAGGAAGAGGAGGGCTCGGACGACACGGTGATCCGGCGTCTGATGGAGGAGGGCGACACCATTAATTACGCATTTCGTTGCGCTCGTGTCGAGGGCCTGGACGCCTACGAAGGCCTGATGCTGCTCGGTAGAGAGCATTTTTATCTAATCGACGGGTTCACGCTCCTCTCCACGCGCGAGATCCGCGACATCGAGTCCATCCCCGTGGCGCAGCGGGAGCCCGTCCTCCCCTCCGTCATCGTGGGGAAACGCCGGCGACAGAAATTCCATTACGAGGAGATTCGGGAGGTGCTGCGGCGGCGTTATTTGCTGCAGCAGATCGGCGTGGAGATTTTCTGCACGAATGGGCGCACCAATTTCCTGGCCTTCCCGCGGCACACCATCGAGCGGGTCTTTGCGCGGTTAATCGCGTTGGCGCCCAATTTGACCGACTCGGCGTCGGCGTCCGTCGCCGGCCAGAAACGCAGCGCTCAGGTGAATTTAAAATTTATATGCAGTATAATTTCAGAATAAATTAATTTAAATTGTAGATTTATGTAACAAAATGTATTAATTGTTTTTGTGAATCTATTTAAAAGTTGATTGCGTTAATTAAAATCGGTTTTTTGGTTGATTTAAATCGATTTTTTAATTTAAATTTAAAATAAATTAATTTGAAGGTGGAGCCGCACTCCGGACTGCTGTGGAGCCTGATGGGCGACACGTCGGTGACGCAGCGGTGGGTGCGCGGGGAGATCAGCAACTTCCAGTACCTCATGTTCCTCAACACGCTGGCCGGCCGCAGCTACAACGACCTGATGCAGTACCCGGTCTTCCCCTGGATCCTGGCCGACTACGACAGCCCCGTGCTGGACCTGCAGCAGCCCGCCACCTTCCGTGACCTTTCCAAGCCCATGGGCGCGCAGACGGACGAGCGGCTGTCCAACTACGTCAAGCGCTACAAGGAGTGGGATCCCCACACCAAGGACACGCCCTTCTTCTACGGCACGCACTACTCCACCGCCATGATCGTCGCCAGTTATTTGCTGAGACTCGAGCCCTTCGCGCAGTATTTTCTGCATCTACAGGTGAATAAATTGCGCTATAATAAAATAAATTTATGTAATCATTAAAAATGTTATGAATATTAATAATAAAAAATTGATAAGAAAAATTGACGTCAGAAATCAGTAGAAAATATAGACAGTTCGTTTGGTTTATAAAAAATTCGTTAATAATGGTGTTAATGAAAATAAAATAACGTAGGGCGGAAATTTCGATTTGGCGGACCGGATGTTCCATTCGGTGGGGGACGCGTGGCTGTCGGCAGCCAAGAACAACATGGCCGACGTGAAGGAGTTGATCCCCGAGTTCTTCTATTTACCGGACTTTTTGCTGAACGCCAACCGGTTCGATCTGGGCGTGAAGCAGAGCGGCGTGCAGCTGGACGACGTGGTGTTGCCTGCATGGGCGCGCGGCGACGCCCGCGAGTTCATCCGCGTCCACCGCGAGGCGCTGGAGTGCGACTACGTCTCCGCGCACCTCCACGAGTGGATCGACCTCATCTTCGGCTACAAACAACAAGGTAACTAAACAAAATCAAAATACAATGAAATAAAAATAATATACAGTATATAAAATAAAAAGGGGAAACATATTTGTAAAAAATAAATTTGTGTTGAATGATGCGCAGGCCCGGCGGCGGTGGAGGCCAAGAACCTGTTCCACGGGTGGATGTACGAGGGCGCGGTGGACCTGGACAACATGAGCGATCCGCTGGAGAAGCAGGCCTTCATCGCCTTCATCAACAACTTCGGCCAGGTGCCCTCGCAGATCTTCAAGAAACCGCATCCGGTCAAGAAAGTGGCCGCCGGTCGCCAGGATCTCGTCTTCCACAACGTCGCCCGGCTGCAGCCGGTCCTCTTGGCCGGCAAAGGTCAGCGAATACAAGAAAAAATTATTAACAAATGCCCAATAAAATAAATCTATTAGCAGGAAATTTTAACATGCAATTAAAACTAGCTTAAATAAATACTGTAATCACGAATAAAAATAATAAATCATTCTGTAAAAAAATGGAATTAAAATAAATTTTAAAAAACGAAAATAATAATGCAATAAATGGCAAAATAATTAAATGCATAAAAAATAGAAATAAAATCAAATGAATGTGACTGTGTAGAGCTGCGCAGTCCGGTGGGGCACATTGTGTCGCTGGAGAAGTCCTGCCTGCCGATGGAGCAGAACAAGGCGCCGATCCCTCCACACTACTCGCGCTACTTAGCCTGGGGCTTCCCCGACCACAGTCTGCGCATCTGCAGCTTCGAGGCCGACCGCCCGCTAGCCGTCTTCGAGCTGCGCGACGAGGACGAGGTGCTGTGCGCGGTGTGCCCCAGCGCCGACGTGTATTTAGTCGCCGGGATGAGCGGCGTCATCGGCGTGTACACGCTGGCGCGCCGCCGCCGCCTGATCCTCAACAAACACCTGTACGGCCACTACGAGCCGGTGACGTGCCTGGCCGCCAGCGCCGTCTACTCCCTGGCCATCAGCGGCTCCAAGGACCGCACCTGCATCGTCTGGAATCTCCAGGGACTGACCTTTCTCCGCCAGCTGCGCGGACATCCCTTGACCGTCTCCGCCGTGGCCATCAACGATCTCACCGGTAAATTCAACCGAATTAATTCCAAATAATTCATATTTAATCAAAATAAATCATATTAAATTGTAATAAATTAAAATAAATCATATTAAATCAAAATACAGCGCAATAAATTGTAGAAAATTGTTAGAAATCGTAATAAATGTAAATGCAATGCAGGCGACATGGCCAGCGCGGCCGGGACGTTCCTCTTCTACTGGGACATCAACGGGCAGCTGCTGGCCAAGCTGGACGTGTCCGGCGGGCAGGCGCTGGCCAGCGAGCAGATCCTGTGCGTGGCCTTCAGCCAGGCCAGCGAGTGGGACCCCGCCAACGTCCTCGTCACCGGCGGCAACGACGGCCTGCTGCGCCTGTGGTCCGAGGAGCTCGTCCCGGCCTGCCACCTCCCGCCGGACCCCGCCGACGCCCCGGACCGCCTCTCCGTCGACCCCGGGCGCCGCGACAGCGAGGAGGAGGACGAGGAGGCCGACGTCCGCGATCCGGTGGTCAGTCTGCGTCGGCTGAGCATCCACGGTGAGTGGGAGGTCCCTTTCTTGGAGAAACACGTTCAGGAGGTGGTGTTTGCAGGGAGCGTCAGTGCGGCGGCCATGGGCGGGCGCGCGGGCCCCCTCCAGCCGCAGGACACGGAGGAGCTGCCCTCGCCCGTCAAGGACGACTCCCCGCTGGCCGCGGAGCCCCCGCCGCCCTCCCCTCTCCCGCAGATGTTGGCGCACGACATCGCGGTGCTGCACCAGGCGCTGCACGACCACCTGCCGCCCCCCGGGGGGCGCGCCGTGTCCCCCGCCCCGCCCGCCATCGTGCTGGAGGCCCCGCGGCCCGACCAGCTGCAGCGGCGCCTGACGCTGCGGGCCACGCTCAACATCCCGCTGGCGCTGAGCCGGAAGGGGCCCGGCAGCGGGGGCGGGGCCCCCAAGGGCGGCCAGGTGTCGGTGACGGCGGTGGCCTTCAGTCGCGATCACAAGGCGTTGTACGTCGGCGATTCCGCGGGCCGCGTCAGCGCCTGGCTCACCGGCTGATCCAAACGGGAGTTATCGGGATTTTCCGGATGGAATTGTAATTATTCAGCGCCCGGCTCAACGGCGGAATTTTAGCGGGATTTTTCGGGAGAAATTATAATTATTATTTGACTCGGTTGGGTGATGTTGAAGGGTCTTGATTTCGTGGCGATCTCAGTGATTTCTCAGCGGGGCTTCGTTTTCTGCGCTGTCTTTTGTCGTGTCCGGTGACTCGTTGAGTGAATGTTATGTGCGCGTTGCTTGTTGTCGTTACTCGTTAGTCGTCGGTTGTCCTCTTGCCCGGTGTCCAGTCCGTCGATATTCATTTTATGCTGTTTTTTTTCCGTGTTAGACACCGCGTTTTATGCCACTGTAAAGTTCCAATCAATAAAATAATACTTTATTAATTCGCGTTCTTCAGTTAAAATCTGGGATTGAATAAGTAAATTGGATTTCATCATAGTCAGAGCAGGTACTTCCTAGACCATTTCCGGTTAGGTTGACAGTCTAGTGTGTGGGATTCTAAACTTAGCTGAATCAAAAGTCGAAAATTAGGAAAAGCTAATGGGAATTTGAGAGAAAACAGGCAGAAAAGAAAGCGGCTTTAGAATACGACAGCGAACGTGGGCTGAGAACATCACTTGCAGATTATTGTTTCCGGTGCGGCGTTTGTCGCGTAACACAACAACTGAAAAGGGGGTATATTTGTTTCTTATTGAACACAACCGCAACGGGAAAAACAACCTCTCGACACAGAGAAAAAAGAAAAAAAATTAAAATGCGCCGAATCACGGCAGCGCCAAATGCGCTGACCACTCGCCAATTCATCGCTTATATACGGTCGGCTGCCCGATGGGCATCCTAGTTACATCATCCACGAATCAGGTCGTATCGCTACCAGAGAGAGAGAGCTGACCGCTGTCCAGAAACAGCGTCGGTACTTTTTCTCCACCGAACTTAAGTTACCGTGGATTTTTAATAAATCCGCCGGCATAAGCGGATCCCGCTTATTCGGTAGCTCAGTTCGAATGCGTAGCAAGCCGGTCAAGGCTTGCTTTAATAAAAAAATGATTTAAATCCGGAGGAGGAAAATTATTCAGCGTATGGAATGAACTTAAACTAGAAACATAATTTTTAACTGTAGCAAACTCTAATTTTCTGGATAACTCAGCAACGTAAAGTGCAACAGTCTCCTCCTCAGCAGGAAGAGCGCGTAACTTATACCGCTCGCAAAAGGTCACGAACGCTCTCCATTGGGAAGAACGAGTCTTCGAAGTCGTGGCCGCCATTGATTTAAGCCGAAGCTCGGACAGCTTACGGCGCAGTTGGGAGACTGCAACAAGCACAATACGGTAAACTGGGGCCTGGAAAACTAAACTTAAAATACTCAAAGAAACGCGAGGCGTGTTGCGGGTTCTCTGTTAATCTGCTCAGGGCATCAGCCAATACATTCTTAACGTCGGCCGAGTGCGTAGCAACCACTCGGAAGTTGTGGGCGTTGCTTTTGGCAAATACGAGCTTAAGCCATTACAGCGCCTCTATATTTTTTGTTGTACCTCTGTTCAGAAATGACACGGTTTGCGTATTATCTGAAAGAACGACAACTTTTGCACCGTCAAAATATGGAGCGAAAACTACGAGCGGAATACAAGCGGCTATTAGCTCTAAAAAGTTGATATTTCGTGCTAGCGATGCGTGCACGTACGGCGGTAACAGCCAATTTTGTTCAAAGCCAATAGGTTTATTCAAACTTGTTGACTGCCAAGTGCCAGCGAGCCAGCTGCTCTCCACTACCGCACCTAATCCTGAAAAGGTTGCGTCAGGGCAGACAGTAATAACTGTCCGAGGCGCACCCAGCGGGCACGGACAGAGACCGTTAAAGCCGGCAGCAAAACTAATCCACCAAGACAGCTCGCAGCGTAAAAGTTGGTTAACCTTCACTTTATGCCACGGCTTATCAAGAGTGCACAAGCAATCAATGAAAATTCTGGTAAAAGTGCGGGCGCCGTAAACTGCCTTGGAGGCAAACGACATACGCCCGACAAGCACCTGAAGACCCTTTTTACTTATGTACTTTGCGCTTTATGACCTTTCACTAATTCCAACAAATTATTCAATTTTTCAACTGGCAGTTCAAGCCGCTCCAATTCCGAGTGAATTATCAAACCCAAAAAGGTGATACGCCGACTTGGTCCGACTACTTTTTCGCATTTTGCACAGAAACCGAGTCCCGTCAACAAATTTAAGAAATAAAGTAGGGTTGCGTTACACAGCTCATAGGTTTTTCCTGCTAGAAGAAAATCATCAAGGTAACAAATTACAAAGAATCCGCGATTTCGCATCATTGTCGCCAGTGCTCGCGATATTTTCTGAAGTATCGCCGGTGCATTGGCCAAGCCAAAGCATAGACAACGGTCGACATAAAAGTTCTCGGGTTCGCCTGCTGCACTGCAGCAAAGATACATACCTACTCACTTATGCTACGACCCCGCATGCCGCCTCCGGAACTTCCCCCGATGAGCTGTTCCTCCAGCGCAGAATGCGCACAGCTCTGGATTTGCTATATCCGGACCCGAATGCCGTGAATGGCCTAGTGCAGCAGAGAAAACCCCATGACGTTACGCGCCGCCGACACTGCCAGATCTAGAGGCCACGATACCGGAAATCGGGACATGCCACAGCGTGACCAGCAGCGTGCCATACTGGAACCTGCTATCAAACAACCATCGGAATCAACTGCGACAGAATCTCCTCCCGTCACAGCTCACAGCTCCTGTCACGACAAATCCTGCTCCACCAGCGCGCGCGCCAGCGAGATCAGCGAACAATGGAGCTTGGCCAGAGTATTATGGATGACAATGCATCTTTTTTAGCGGGGGAACTGTACCTTGGTTTCTTGTGTTCTCTTGCTCTATTGTGCTCCATATATTGGTTGTCGTCTAACGTTGCCGTCTGTTTTCTTATATTATCTTATGTTACTTATATATTTTCTAATGTTTCCTACGTTTTCTTCATGTTTTCTCATGCCTTGTTATATTTTCTTGCATTTGTATACTTGTTATGTTTCGGCTGCATAAGAAACCACCCAGTGACGGCTGAGTGACCAGTCAAGAGATACTGTACCCGCAAAAGTAACACGAGAAGCGAAAAAATTTAACCGAAAATGAATAATATTATTATAATTATAATAAATAACTGTACAGAGGAAGTAGTTGTTTGCGTGTCCAACCGGCTGGGCGTCGGACCCGTCGGTCGCTTAGCAGATGTTGACAGCGACAGGGGCGAAATTCTGGTGCTGGGCAAACTGCCCAGATTACGGTACTCTCCGTCTCCCCTCGATCCCGGTCCTCTGGATCTGGTCGCTGCTGATATGGCTGGTATTATCCATCCTTACAATTAGAAACGCTGCATTACTTGGTTTCCCACGACCGCTCGGCGCTCGAGAAAGCTCGTGACAGAGAGATGAGTACGATAGGAATAATTACCGTAATAATCCATCCTACCGACCTGCTCAACGACAGAGTATGAGCTGATAATCTCAATGTGGCATAGCTAAGTCCAAGAATTGACGCGAAGCGAGAACTGGATCTCCGACGATAATTTAGTTCTGAACTCCGACACTGCCAAAAGTCAGAATGAGAGAACTGATGATCAAAGTACTGCCACTCACGGACTTATATCACGGCGCATCCGCGTAGAAACAACCCAAAGGAAATGCAAACACAAAAGAAAAAAATCAAGAATGTACTCGTACGAGCGATAATAGAAAGTACGAATAAAGCCGTCAGTTTACGTACACATCGCTACTGTACAGCTACATATACCGCGTCACTAGGTCAGAATGTCAGATCAGTTGGTCAGGGTACCGATGCAGTTACTCAGTGGAAGGTTTAAAAAACCTTCCACTTTGTTATTGCTTTCACACGCGGAACAGCTCGTTGATCCCGTATACGGCCATTTTGCTCCAGGTGGATACATCCACATACCGCAGATCGACATCATCCCAGAATTTCGGTCTCCCGTCGGGGTGAAAGCCACTATACCTGCGCAGACAACAGCAGTATGCGTGAGACTCATCATCGTCAAGCAGTTTCGTTTAACATTTCACAGCAGACGCTTGCAAACTTTCAACGGGGAACATGGTCACTCAGACTCACTCTGCACTCCTCCGACTAACACATAAGACAATTTGGGCACGCTTCGACCGTAGCATTGGCAGTAGCCGTATCCTTTGGTCTTGGACCGAATGTCGGTCCGAATCGTCGTCTGCTACGGTTTCAAAGCTACGGCACGGTCAATGCAGAGCTGGCATTGACCGTAGAAAAGACAAACTACGGTCATCCTCTTTCTCCCTCTGCCTTCGCAGCTGAGTACAGCTACCTACGGGGAGCCGAAATCAGAAATGTTCAGAAAAGTATGCAGATTTTTCTGCAATGTTCAAGAATGTGAACAATGATCGTTTCCTATTTTTAAAATGACTTTAAAACGAACCACCAGAAGATTATGGAATTTTCATTTGTAGCGCATCAACTCAACACCCTGTAAAAATCGCATCGTGCCTCGCTTCCGATCTGGCACGAATTTCAAAATTCAAAATACCCGTTTTTTATGTGATTTGAGAAACTTCAGGTCTTAAACACAGATCTGCAAGATTACAGTCCGTACTACACCTTTATTCTCCACAAAGAAAGGATTTTTATTGTTAACTTATCCAGCAATAAAAGACACTGTCTGACAGTCTGACGTAAAAGTTGCGCGGGTCTCCAGTTTGGCAGTTGGCATGGTGCAGAATTGCAGAACAATGCTGTGATGAATGCCTTATCAAGTTGGATAGTGAAACAAAAGAATTCGAGATTAATATGAATAGTAAAGATTCACCAATACTAAAATCAAATTCACAATTTTGGACCAGAGAGTTTTGAAGTGGTGGTCTTCAGGTTTCAGTTGGCTTTCTTCCAAATTAGACGCTGGGCAGTTTTCACCATTGCAGTACGGCTGTACCGCCTGTACGAGTGCACAATATCCGCTATTAAATTTCCATAGAAAACTCCTACCACAATTTCCATCAAAAGTTTTTTCTGAATTCTGAATACACCGTTGGATTTGCCATAAAATTCTAAACAAAATGGTTGAGACAGATTTTTGAAATTCGCTTTCCCTCAAGATCATTTGCGCGGGCTGTCGTACCTAGGACACCCGAAATTTTGGGGTATCGTCCCCCTGAGCGCCGGGGAATTGGATTGACTTGAGAGAAATCCCCACAATCTCAGGTATCGTATGGGCGACCGCCCGTGCAGTTGATTTTAGGGGGAAAGCAAATTTCAAAATCTGTCTCAACCATTTTGTTCAGAATTTTACGGTGAACCCAACGGTGTTTTTAGAAAAAATTTCCGATGGAAATTGTGGTAGGAGCTCTTTGAAAATTTAACGGGGGTCTCGCTACAGGTCTGCAGTGCCCTGCAGACTTGGCCCATCTTTTGGGTAAGGTGAAAATTTTCCCATTTTTCCCAGCCCATCTCATTTTTTTTATGAAAAATGAGGATGAGGTGGGATAGAGCCGCAGATGGGGTGAGATGAGCAGGGATTGTTGAAAGATGGGATGGGACAAAAAAAAAAATAAAAATAAAAAACTTTGATATTTTCATCTGTTTTCCAGCTAGGAGCATGTAAAATTTCACCAATCGAGTTCCCAAAACAGTTTTCCGCCCGTAGCGCGGATTCCATCAACAACTGAGCATATTTTCTTGAGAACCGAAACTGTTTTTCGCCCGCAACTCGATCGTATGCGGAAAACTTGCAAAATTAGCGGCAATGAGCCTGTAAAAAATGGGGATGAAGCCATGAAGGTGAGATCGAAAAGGTGATATGAGCTGAAAATTTGAGAAGCCGGAGGTGGGCTGGGAATTAAACTGTGAAAGTGGGCCGTGGGGTGGGGTGAAAGTGGAAAAAACGAAATTGGGCCAAGTCAGCTGCTGCGCAGCATTGATGCCAGTATTGCTACTGCTTTCTCCAACCCAACACCGGAGTTGGGCAGCCAAGTAACCGGGCTGCAGTGCGTCTGGCCATAGCCGTAGAGACTGCTATTGCTAATGCTACTGCCAATGCTGGCGCTTGCCCAAATTCGCTATACTTGTGCTAGGGAGCATTTGCTTGTTACTTACCAATATCGTGACTATTTTGGCTGCCATATACGCAGCCCTCGTAGAATATACAGATGAACAACACAATCTGCAACTGCGGGCGTGATACTTGGGCTTTCTGTTGGCTTTCGTCAATTTATACTGCCAGCACAATACAATTTCCAGCACTGTACCGGCTAATTATAACGACTTACAGCAGGAGATAGTTGCGGATGGTGTGCCAGTCGGCGGGGTAGTCGAGGGTGCGCTGCCAGCGCGCGTGGACGGCCGTGACCTTTGCCAGCATCTCCGGCGTGACCGGCGGGAAGCGGTCGTTCAGCGCGCACATGAAGCGACTGGTCATGTGCATCTTGCCGTCGCTGCAGGGCAGCAGCAGCTGGGGAATGGTGATCTGCAGCTCGTCAATGGCCAGCTGGGCTGGCGCGACTGACCGCTTGGACAGACGCAGCATCCATTCACGCTCGTGCGCTGGCAGAGGACGCCGGTGTACGGCGCCCTGTTGCTCATAGTCAGCGTAGGTGCAACCTTCCTCAAAGACGTCGTACATTTGCCGGCCAAACAGTTTACCAGCTGTCCAGTTGCACAGCAAGACGAAGTCGCAAATGTGCGAGTAGAAATTGATACGAACCAGTGCCCCGTGCTTCAACCGCGCCCGTTTTTGCTGACCAACGGCCAGCGGATCCATGTCAGTGTGGTCTTTGAGCACCAGCACCGACAGACTGATCTCCTTGGCTGCCAGGATGGCCTGCAGAAAAAAGGGCAAGCCGCGCGGCGGGGCGACCCGCAACAGGGTGAGACTGATGGTCGCCGAGCTGAGGGAGCGGGTGAGGAGGCAGGCCGCGCGGAAGCAGTTGTCGGTGTCGACTTGCAGGTATGTGCAGCTTTCGAAGGAGATGCTGACGTGCTCCTGCATCCGGGGATGGCGCAGCAGCAGCTGCCACAAGCCACACACCCTAACAAGAAGCGCACACCTTGTTAATCACAACTACCACCGACAATAAGGCCAACCGGCTCCATCACTGCAAGAGGCCGCTCGTACAAGCCTGTCGTCCACGTTCTCGCGTAGAGGTACGATGGACGACGAAAAGAAGCTGAAATCGATCGTCCGGTGTGCGGTCGCCTTATCAACTTCTTTTTGTCGTCCACTGTACAGGGAATTAGTCACTGTGAGTCTGTGACGATGGTAGTGCACTGGCTATTTCTTTAAGCGCCCTCTACGCTTTTCGGTGTGCACTGACTGCACTCAGCATTGCCGGCACAGAAGTACCGTCGATGACATTCGAAAGGCAGTGACCCGCTATTGTCGCTGCCTTTCGAAGGAAATACGAACCAGAAAGAAATCCCTACCGTTTTGCTCTCATTTGGGAATGAACGTCTAGATGGGACAAGATGTCACTCAACAGCCAAGGCGTCAAATCACTCAGCATCGCTGCATCAGTGTCCATGACCATATCTAAGAAAAGAATACACTGTACCATTATGCAGTAAATTATGAAAGAAACAAAACAGATTGCTCGAGTCTTATTGCCTACACTGAGGGGCACACCTTCCCGTGACAACCTTCGAAACTGTGATCATATTCTAGATCTGCAAAACACTGCCAAGGCTGAAGGCAGCCAGCCTGGTTCGAAGCCAACAGCGTGAAAAAGTGTGTAGGCATGTTGTGGTGTATGTACACTGTACAGTTGTACTGCACTATGATTTACACATGCTGTATGTCCTAGCAACGTTAAATATCAGGTGTACCGTAGAATTACAGTACTATACTTATTACTTGTGTTTAATACTTAATTATTCATTCATTCAGTTGTCGTACTAACGAACAGCTAATAAATTAATAATATTAACTGAGAAAGGACACACATGTTTCACACGTGCTAGTTTATCTGTTCAGCGAAGAAAATGAGAACGGAAGCGAATCCGCCAGTAATTTAATTTTGAACGGCCAAGTGGTGACAGTAAAACAGCAAGCAACATAACTGGGTGTGGAAGTGGACCAGCACCGGAAATGGGATAAGCAGTATCGGAGAAGTGAAGCGCAGCATAAATTACCGCATCCAAAAGATCAAACGCGTGCACGTGAAACCCAGTCTCAGTGAAACCTAACGAGTCACCCTTCACCACGCTTTCGTCCAGCCATACATAGATTACTGTGCTTTGGCTTGGTCGGCAGCGTCCTTGGGAGAGCAGGGAGAACTGACGAAACGGCAACATGCAGCTTTCAGGACCATCATCGCAGCGATGCCAGGGAACGGGACACGGGTAACCCCGCAAATGTACATACGTTAACGCCTTATATATAACGGCTGGGTATAACGCAGCAGTCGACCGATGGCGCCAGAAGGAAGCAGTGCGGCTGTACAAGATGCGTAACCGGCTGTGCGTTAAAGTGCCGGCCCACATGTACAAGCTGATACCCTTCGAGGAGACCAGCACGCGGTACGCCCTCCGCCGGGAGAACCGGAAAGACTATCCTAGCGTCTAGCGATGAGGCTGAAGACTTGCTTGATGCGATAACCGGTGGCGGCACTGGCGGGAAAAGTAGTGGCAATGCATATTTCGTGTTCTGTTCTGTTAAGGAATTTCCTGTACGCACTTGATTCGAGGAAGCTAGCTGCTACTGTAGCTTTTCTCTGTGCTATGTCCGACTTAATGGAAGGATGTAATGGATGTCACCGCAGCTACGCTCGTTTATTTACATTGACCGCAACCTAAAGTGGAGCGTGCATTATGTCCACGTTCTGCGCAAAGTCAACTACGGCATCGCAATGATCAACCGCGCGAAAGACGGCCTGGGTGTGTCCCAACGTACTGCGTATGAGTCCTGCCATGCCTGTGTGCAGGCACATCTTGACTACGGGTCAGATACGTGGTCGCCGGCATGTCTTAGTAATTTAGCTTTGTGCTGATCGAGGACACTGCAGTCCCGTTCAGCGGGGTCTGCTACTGGTGCTCGTTTGCGCCGCTCGTCTACGCTTTGCAGGAAGATAGATAAACCGCCCAAAACGTGACACCAACCACAGCTTTCTCACCGGCTTCCAGAGGCACGTTTTCACTGGCGCGGAAGGCTGGATGGTTGTGAATCGGCGGAAGAAGGGCGCGGCTGGCCAGATGCGTTTCCAGAACTGTCGACAAGGTTCTGGCCATCCAGTGCGTCGATTCCGCGTCGGTCGCGAGTCCGACGATGACGAAGACGCAGCCCGCCGCTTCGGTGCGCAGATGAAACCGGCACCAGTCGAAGAGAATTCCATCGACTGGCTGCAGTTTGCAGTGAAGAGCGTCACGAACATGCTTGATGATGCGGAATTTATCGGAAGGTTCGCTGAGCAGGGCGCTGGCGCGGGGGAAGGGTATCCAGTGCTTGGTGTACAACAAACCACTGCGGCGCTCCAGCAAGGGTGGACCGCTGGGCGGTAATTCTCCGGCCAGTTGGCTTTTGTGGGCCACCCCAATATTACCAGCTTCGTGTGCTGCAGGGGCAGGGTCCTGGTCAGCGCTGCTGCTGCTGGACCCATCGGTTTGGATGCAAAAAATGTCACAATACCGGTCACAACCGTTAAGCTTGGTCAGCCCAACGGCTGGTCGGAAACGAAGTGGTCCATCAAATTCATCGCGCAGTGCCGCAAATAGTGGAACGTTGTGGCGACCAAATCTGCGCAGCTCTGTGTCACGGTAGGGCGGCAGTGGCCAGACGTCCTGCATGTGCAGCCAGCGAGCTTCGGCTGTTGTGCAGTCGAAGTGGATGAAGGCGCGCTCGCCGTCGATATCCTGGATGTAGCCTAGCCACCAGATGTCGCCCTCGCAGGCGTCACGGCGGCGGATGCGGACGGCGACAGTGTTGTAGTAGCTCACTTGACTCGCTGGACCATCCGCCAGTAACGGCCGATACCGAGGCAGCCCGTCCATCTTATCCGGAGGGCCTGAAGAAAAACTGCAACATTATCATTAACGGTTAACCACGAGACGATGTGAATTATTTACGAAGCCATCCTTCAGTTTTAAGTTGCTAAAGAAAAAGGGAAGAAAGGTTTCTTTCTTCGAAGCTGGAGTTCTAAGCATTCTTAAGGGGAGTGGCCCGGTACATGGTACCAAATTCGTGTGCTTGCATGAAAACTTTCACTTTCGCGCACTCCCGAACACTTCTTTGCTTTGTTTCTTCGAACAAAGTAGCCAGATAATTTGAGCAACATCCGGTTCGGGAGTTTACGGCTGTAAAAATATCCTAAAGATTAAATGCATTCAGGTGTAACAAAATCTTATTATGGACCGATCTACGAGTACTTTAAATTTTGCAGGAAAACGCGCATACGCATGAAGATCGTTTTTACATCGAACCAAAGTTACAACATTTTTTTCAAATTTTAAAATGAATTTCAAAAATTTATCTAAAATTCAAACAAACGCTAGCATCGTGGTTCGGCGTAAAAACGATCTCAATGCATATGTGCGTTTTTATGCAATATTTGGAGAAGATCGGTTGATGACGAGACTTTTGGTACACTGAAATGCATTTAAACATTTTGGAATTTTCTTACCGCCATAACTTCCAAACCGGATGTTGCGCGCACAAACGGTTTTCACACCTATGTACACAAATCATTTGGCTGCAAAATGTCATAAAACAAAGCAAAAAGTGTTGGGGAGTGCGCGAAAGTGGAAGTTTTCGTACATTTACACGAATTTGGCACCATGTACCGGGCCACTTCCCATTAACTTTTTAACATCCATCGGTCTCGTAAATTTTCTTAACTTAATATTAATTTCGCGCGAAGACAATGAGCGATTTTGCTGCCAAAATGCTAGAAATTCCATTGAAAACAGTAGAAATAATTCCATTCTTTTTACAGGGAAGGCTAAAGGACCTACTCTAGGAAGGCTGTAAGAGTTCTTGAAAAGCACTTTTTGAAGCATGGTTTGCTAACAACCGGGTAACAGGGATTTAAAATACTCGTAATTCACATATAATAAGTACAGTACAGTCTACAATAAAATTAATGCTACTTTCGCGCAGAGCGCGAAGCTAACAGTCCGTTTTACTGCAAAAATCGCCGTAGAAAATGAGACAAAAATAGCAATTTTGTCGGTTTCTTGCAAAAGTGGTTGTCGTTTTTAAGCAATACTTAAGCTTTTTTAAGCTTTACTCTTTTGTAGTACCCAATTTTTAAAAAATCTCGGGACGAGGGGACATGCCCCCGTCCTTAAGGGAAGTGGGCCGGCACATGGTACCAAATTCGTGTACAAGTACGAAAACTCTTACTTTCGCGCACTCCCAAACACATTTTTGTTTCGGTTTATGACGTTTTGTAGCCAGAAAATTCGTATACACTGACGTGAAAACCGTTTGTGCGCGCAACATCCGGTTCGGGAGTTATGGCCGTTAGAAAATTCCAAAAACTTTCACTTTTATAGAAAATTTGTGACAAATACTCATGTACCTTGAGTTTTTAAATAAGTAGTAAACTATAAGTTATTTGGAATTTTGAATCACAGAGATGTGAACTTGAAAAGACTTATACATTTCCCCACAAGAGAAAATAAAAAGAAAAAGTAAACTATAGTTGCTTACTAGAAAACTACGGTATAAGTTATTTGGAATTTTGAATCACAGAGATGTGAACTTGAAAAGACTTATACATTTCCCCACAAGAGAAAATAAAAAGAAAAAGTAAACTATAGTTGCTTACTAGAAAACTTCAAAACCGAGGCAAACTTCAAACAGAGTCTTCCGTTTAAGAAAGTCCGATGCAATGCCAGCCAATAACTTACCGCACTCGCGATACAGTACTTAATTCGTTCTTTCGTCCATGATAAGAAGACATCAAAATATTAAAAGGCTGAGATGTAGATACAATGTTTAAACAAAATGATATAGTTAATATCTTAAATAGGTAATAAACAGACCATAAATATATTTGTCTACCGTACATCGATCATAAAGTATCTCCGTCAAACACTACAAGTAAAAGCCATTGGTGCAGTTTTTCGTTTACTGTAAAGTGAAAGCATCAGATTCCTTATTTTCACGATGCAAATAATAAATTATGATCAATGATTGACGCGCTACTGATGGTGAGCTGCAAAATATGTGTTCTCTCTCCTAGAGTACTCACTGCAGGTGCAGTGTGCAAGCAGTACAAGCACAACTGCAGCTAAACCGGTCCGGTAGGCGAAGGTAGTGCGGTTCCAGATTCCAGTGGAATCCCCATCCGATTCGATGGAATAATCACGGGATCCGTTTATGCAGAGCTCAGCAGGTCTCGTAGACTGCAGAGTCATAGAAGGAGTTTATAGAATTTGTTACAACGACATTATATGAGTAATGCATGACCAGTGGCCACGTGCTTTTCTCAAATTTCTCTCCAGCTAAGTGCTAGCCTGTTCGCATAAACTGGTCGCCATCGCCATCAAGAGAGAAGCAAAGCAAAACAAGTTCACACTTTACAGCGGCTTGCTAAGAGTAGGCGGCAACTGCCCAGTGTAACCGCAGCAGTTAGCCGCCGACGGTAACGCCGTAACGGCAAGTAGCAACAGCAGGTAACAGCAGCAGTAGTAACAGCAGGTTGGTTGGTGAGTGGTTACAATGCACAATCGCTCAAAGCGAAGGTTACGTGTAGCAAAATGAAGTATGTATGTTAGGCAAGCCGATATTAGGCGTTTGGCGGGCCGACAAATCAGATGGCTTGTTAAAGTACCATCGTTCAAGAATTTCTCAAGAGTTCTCCTCGACGCTGCCGACAGTACTGAGTACTCGTGTTCTTACGTAATGCTGCTGGTTGCGCGGCAGCTTATCTGATGATTCTGATAGCAGTCGTGGGCAAACTCCCGTGAGGCCGTTTGCCGGAGCCCTTTATGCTATTGTCCAGTTAGAGGTACTGGCACTCGTACTGCCAAGGCATAATACAGTGTATGATTTGCCATGGTATTGCCGTACTGGCTGCGCTGTGGATTGATAGCGCGCTGTTCATCAGAGTGCCTGCGAAGAACCAGCGCTGCGTTCGCCTGTGGATGGAAATTGCCAGAAACGGCGAGACTGGAAGTAATGGAAGAAAATTGGGACGACTGGCCGGAAGTGACGTTCCTGTCGGCGCTGCAGCAAAAATACCCCGATGCGGATGTCAGAACGACACAGAAGCAGGGATGAAAAGGGAGCGATCTCCTTTATTTTGTAACAATAAAGCAACCACAAAAACCAACAGAAAACCAATGCGGAAAAGCTGTGGAAAAAGTGGCTGCCAGCGAGCTCGGTGATATCGTGATAATGATGCGGCGTGTTGCAGCTGCGTAACGGCTGATACCGCAAAGAATGGCATCGCTCGTAGCGCTGGGCCACACCTCCAAAAGTGCATAGCGAACGCTGATTGGTCAGCGTAGACAAAGTATACGCTGACGTAGCCAGCGTATATGAGCGGCACGAGTGGCGTGGCCACCTGGGTGCGGGTGCCAGAGCAAGCCACAAGAGGTGTCTACCGCCTCGAGTGAGCGGTCTCTGACACGGATTATCTCTTGTTGTTCGCTGGTCACCTTTGCCAGCAACGGGAATGCGCGGAGGCGCATGAAAATCGGCCGTAATAACTAGAGTAGTAAGGGCAGCCGGGCAGGACGTGCTGGCGGGAGGCTAGAGCGGGAAAAAGGCAGTTTTCGGGTAAGTTTTACTGTTTTTGGGTAATAATCTTCTAAAGTAAGTATGGGAGAACGTTCCGTGACGTCTACGCGCACATCAAAGATGCCGCCCATCGCGCACCTGAGATACCGATCTTCTCTTCGGATCGGATATGCTGCATCGCACGATTATCAGTTATCAGTTGGATAACTTGGATTATCATACTTACGGATTCTGTGTGAGCTAACCATAAGGAAAGTCAGTTGTGTCTTCCGAGCACTGAGCGGCGTAATTGTTGTTTCTGGATCTACGAACCAGAAAAATTGCTGTTCAAAGAATTCTAGATTCAAAAATCATGAAAATTATAGTAATATGTCGACGCCCTATGTAGAACAACATAAGAGCGAATAAAGGTTATAATTCTTTTATGGCTAACGCAGCTGCCGTACAGGCAAGCCGGCGCTCAAGATCGGAGTGGAGATCGGTATCTCAGATGCGCGTGGGCGGCATCTTTGATGGACGCGCGTAGGCGTCACCGAACGGTCTCTCATATGTAAGGGCGGGACGCTCCGCCCTCATGAGTAGCTATTCGCTGTTTCTGGGGATTTCCACCCCGCACATTGCTGCGCTCTTTTGACGGATCTGCAGCACAGTTGCACTGGCTGCAGAATCCTTCCTCGTTAGTCTGGTGTTGCTGCGCCACGGTGCGCATTAGATTCGGCAATAAAGCCTCATCCGGGTTCACCGCTGTTCGCTGTCGAGGATACGCGTGGCGCCCATACGGCCCCGCGTTATACATACTTAATTACTTCAGATGCTTGTTACACATAAAAAGAAAAACTTACCCGAAAAAACAATTTATTGCAATACTGCAAATTTTCTTACTGGGGATGGAGGAAATGCGGCCGTGCACTCCTTCAGCGTTCGCGACGGGATGGGATTATTCAGCGCCGACCGGTGCCTTGAAGGGTCATTACGTCGACAAGTACGAAGAGTATTTGGAGCAAATTACGAAGTATTTTATTACTGATGAATCAAAGGAGTGCTGACTGTTGACCAGTGTTTTAGTTTACTCGCCCATTAATGAGAATTCCTAAATAAGTCCGCTTTATGGCATTCTCCTCACAGTCAGCTGCATGCATGTACAAGTACAACATAGTTATATGTATTGTCCGTTGTGCTGTCGTTGGCGAATGTGGGAAGAGAAGTCAGTGGAAAACGGAAGCCACAATAATTTGCATTTATTTGTACGGTACTTTCTCCCCGTGCAACGAGCAGTACGACCAAAAAATTAATAAACTGCAGAGAAAATATACGATACGATACTAATCCCGTACAAAATGCCATAAAAATTAATGAAAAACAATGGCGCAATAAATGCTGCACAAAAATGCTTCTTTCACATCCCGAACAAACAGTCTCCAAGGAAGAACAATCAGAAACACCGCCCAAAAGGAAAAACGCCGCAAAAGTAATACTGAAATGTAATTAATCACGGCGGTCCCGCGCCCGACGCTCGACACGCGCAGCCAGGGCAGCGGCGTCCGCCTCCAGGCGCCGCAGATCAACGGCCAGCGACGCCAACTCGGCACGCTCCGCGTCCCGGCCCTGGTCGACCTGCTCCGGTTCCGCCCGACGGCGCTCACCCGGCGCGACCTCCTTCACTTCCTCGCGCTGCTGACTGACGGCGGGGGGCTGGCTGGCGCCGGCGCCGACGCCGGCGTCGGCACTGGCGGAATGTCCGGAACGGTCGGCGTCCTCCTTCGGATCCGCGGCATCCCCGCTGTGCTCCCCTTCCGATCCGTGCGCTTGCTGCACGCCGCCGCCAACTCCCTTCGCCTTTTTCTCCCGCTGTACCGTCTGCTGCGCGGCCTCCGCTCCGTCCGACGCCTCACCGGCCGGTTTGGCGCTGACCCCTGCGTAAACAAAAATTAATCTTAATCATTAACAGTTATGGTGAATCACAGCGATAATAACAAATTATTCACTGATCACTGCAAACCGTAATAACAACAGATCACACTGCTAGTCATAAGAAAGACGCCACCATAATATTCGAACTAATTTAGAATGAATTACATCATGTGCTGAAATGATGTAACCGTAATTTTGTGTTTACATACGTTCGCTGGAATAACCCAACACAACACGTTTCATTTAAAATTAAAATTCAGTAACCAAATTCGGAAAGACATTTAAATCCGAAATTCATTCAAAAATTCAAATGTTTTTCACAATAATAATAATAACGCATTCGGTAATCAATTTACAATTAAAAAATAAAAGAGTACGAAAAATAAAATTGGGAAATGAAATTTAATTCCAACCTTGGCAAACCAGCACAATGTCGTCGTCTTCGCCGGATTCCTGCACCCCTCCGCCGGTTCCAGCTGACGGATTCGACACCACAGGCTGAACAATCTAAACGACAAACAATTCATCACTTCCCAACCAAAAAAAAAGTTTGACTGAATCGCGTGTAAAACCAAAGCAACTGTACAATTACGGTCGAAGATATGCGAGCGGCTACAGTACAAGAACTTGTTTTTCGGCACTGTCGTTATTTCAAAATGACATGAATATCCTTCGCAATTTAACGTTAATTTTGCGGGCGCGTTGCATAGTACATATGCATACCATTCCAACGATTACCGACGAGCGGGGTGTCTGCGTGTGCTGAACGGCTGCGGGTGGATCCTGCACCTACGAACGATTTTTCGTTGAGATAAAAACTGCATTTACACTGCCACACCGAATTCCTCCTGTGGCAACTGGCAAACTTCAGCTCGGAGGGTGTCGTCGGACCCAAATAAAATTACACAAGAAACTGATTTAACAAATTTTTTTTTCAGAATTTTACGGGTTAACCGGTAACACTAGGGACTGGATCTGTACGCCTCCCGACAGTAGAAACAGCGCAACATTTCTTACCGTGATCTTACTCGCCCCAGCCCGCATAATCACACCGCCGGGCACATGCGACACCGCCGCATCCGCCGCGCGACTGCTGCTGCCCGCGATCGGGACGCTGTTCTCGGGGAAGCCGTCCCGGGTGTAGAACTTCACACCGCGATTCTCGTACCGCTCGCCAAAAGCCCTAGGGTAGATTAAACACATCCGCTAATAACGAAACTGACTAAATCGATGCCAGAAATTGTACTAACGTCAGTTATGTACAGATAATTCACCACGTTAATGACGTAAAAAATTAATGCTCGGCTTGTTTCGACCTTCAAGTGTTCCTAAACAATTTACATTATCGGTCATATGAATAAACTGCTTAGTAATTTCCACGCAGTAAGCACATACACCTACGTATTAAAAAAAATGTAAGAAATAATAGCATTTTTTGTTTTATTATAAAAATAATTCCCATCTGCAGACGAGACGACCAGAGCGTCCCAGATCGAATTAATTCGCAGTGAAATCACACTTACTGTATTCCTAACTCGCACATCTTCCTGTTAATTCCCTCCATCATGACTACATCGTCGGCGCCAGGCCACTGCAACTCGTATCGCGGCAGCTGAAAAATCCGGGATCCCGCATGATGCCGGGTGGAAGCTAGGCGTTCCGGCTGCACGAAATCCGTACACGCATTGACTGTGTCCAGCAGGGTAACCGCATCCGGTGGCGACTGGCCGTGAAGCGTGCTTTCCAGTTCGCCAAAGTTCTCGAAGGCCAGACTTCTCTCTAAACAAATTCACCTTGATACGACTTTTTATTATTTTTATAAATAAATTAATTTATTAAATAATAATTTGCTTTAACTATGGCCATACAGTCACACACAACCATTAAAGCTTAAATCTTACAGGAATAATCAAAATCCGCATTTTTTTTAACACTGGCATAAACGCTGCTTGAGAAATGCAAATAGCAGAATGCGCAAATGCTGACAGAAATAGACAAATAAACAACAGACAAATATTTAATTAGACTACGGAGCGGACTGTGTAAGCCCTCACTCTACTCACGGATCTCCATGACCAACACAAACGGACTGGGCGATTCCTCCGCGGGTTTTTTGGACGGGCTGCCGAGGTCGGCACTGTCGTCTGGAGCGGCGCGCTTCTTGGGATCCTTCTTCGAGGCCATTGCACGCAACTGAACAGATAAGACTTTCACACGGAACGGTTTCGTACAGTAAGCACTTTGATCGATAATTTCTGCAAAACGAGATGAAGCTGGCAAAGGTGACTTGCAGATTTAGGCGTGCAGCAAAAAATTACAGTCGTAAGCATCAGACTCCAGGTGCCGAGGCACTTTCCGTTGTTGGATCTCGATCAACGACCGCTGTAGCGTGCACGCGGCACCAAGCAAAATAAGAATTCCGCGCCAGCTGACCAGCTGCTGCAGCTGATCGACAGACTTCACGATGAAGCACGCTTCACCGTGTGATAAGCTGGTGAGTCACACTGCACCGCTCGCAGCCGAGAACAATGGACGGAAGCTGCGATTGGGCACAGGCCGCACAGCTGGCGTACTTGTGCGCTGAACGTACGAAATTTATTTAAATTCGGTTTTGACGGAATTTATTAAATTATAAATTATTTGAAAAGTGCCAGTCCACTCTGGAGGTTCGTTTTTATTTGACCGAAAATTTCCTTAATTTAACGCGCATGGCGGAGACCGTTTTTACCTGGAAAGTGGAAACTGACAGAAACTGCAGTGAGAGTGTGAAGACGTACAGTATGCATTTGGCTGTTGCAAACGGGGCTTATCTTCGCACTTCCCTGTTGTAGTTAAGGTAGAGTGCAGCGTGCAGTACATGGACCGCTTAGCTTGCGCCAGTGTTGACTGTGGAAGCACGATTAAAGCAGATCTGTGGTTGATTTCCTCGCCTGTTTCTCTGCAGGAAAGCACTCGGAGCGATGAATGGGCCGCGGGCCGGGATAATCCCTTTGGCGGCGGCATGACGCCACCGGACTTGCGGAAGATGGATCTGGGCCGGGACAGCCAGAGTCGCGAGGAGGCGGCCCGCGCGGACCGCGACGACGCCTCGCAGACGTCGCTGACGTCCACCGCCGTCTCAAGATCAGCTACGTCTCCGACTCCAGTTCTTCCACCGCGCGCGACCGCGACGAGCCCTTCGCAGCGCCCAAACGCGTAGTAAGTTGTACAATGTAAATTTCATGTTTTATTCGTCTGCGTATTATCCGTTAATTTCGTTTGCAGTACGTATTTAGTTATATAGCGCTGATCAGTTGACTGAAACAGATTTGATGTTTATTTACGAATTACGATAGAAATAATTTGTTTGGCTTATTTATGCTGGTGAAATGTTATGAAAAAGCAGGTTAAACTATTTAATATTTTATTTCGTTACGTAGAAATGTACAGCAGACTTCGTGATTTAAAAATATTCGTGATTTTTTCTACTTACTTCTGGTTTTCATGTGGAGTTTCCTATGAAATCCGAGAACAAATAAAAAAAATATTTGAACAGATCACAAAGGAAGCGAAGGAGGAGGAGGACAAGTTCGTGACGGTGACGGTGACGGTGAGCGAGCCGCAGAAGGTGAACGAGGGGTTGAACGCGTACGTGCAGTACAAAGTCAGCACGGAGACGAACCTGGCCGTCTTCCGGCGCCGCAAGTTCTCGGTGGTGCGCCGCTTCAGCGACTTCCTGGGCCTGCACGAGAAGCTGCAGGAGAAGCACGTGCACGTCGGCCGCTTCGTGCCGCCGGCGCCCGAGAAGAGCGTGGCCGGGATGGCCAAGGTCAAGATGTCCAAGGGCGACACCACCGCGCCCGACGGCGCTTCCGGTAAAAAGATGTTTATTTGTTACGAATGATTTTATAACATTTAGTTGGTTGATTCATTGAATTAAAAATGGAATTTATTTGATTTTATAATTTTATTTTCGTATTAAGAATTAATCTTAAAATTAATTTGGCGGTTTTTTACAGGAGAATTCGTGGAGCGGCGTCGCGCGGCGCTGGAGCGCTTCCTGGCGCGCACGGCGCAACACCCGGTGCTGCGCATGGACCCCGACTTGCGGGAGTTCCTGGAGATGGACGAGACGCTGCCCAAGGCCAGCAACACCAGCGCCTTCAGCGGGGCCGGCGTGATGCGCTTGTTCGGGAAGGTCGGCGAGCAGGTGACGCGCATCACCAACAAGATGGAGGAGAAGGACGAAGTATGCTCTTCTGACTGTTCGTCGGTGATGCTGGTTGTTTTATTTGGGTGGTTTTTGCAGTGGTTCGAAGAAAAGACCTCGCAGATCGACAACATGGAGATGCAGCTGAAGAAGCTGCACGCCAGCGTCGAATCGCTCTACCACCACCGTCGAGGTCAGCGGGACGGGCATCCAGTTTGTCGGATAGTGAATCTGAATTAATGGATATACTGATGTATTTTTTAATCTGTTTATTTTCAGTTTAATTCAGCTTTTTAAAACTGATTAATCTACGTAATGATTTATTTCAGCAATTTTAACTCGGTTTTTACGGATTAATTCTTGAATAAATTCATTCATTTTATGAAGGTATTTTTCAGTCGGTCAGCGAGACTGGCATCGAATAATGATTTCGATTTAATTGCGTTTACTGATTTATTTTTAATCTGTTTAATTCTGTTTATTTTCAGTTTAATTCAGCTTTTTAAAACTGATTAATCTATGTTTTAATTATTTATTTCAGTAATTTTAACTGGGGTTTTACGGATTAATTTTTGAATAAATTCGCTCATTTTATGGAGGTATTTTTCAGTCTTTTTAATTAATTTTACTTTGATTAAATTTTGATTTGAATAATTTTTAATTAGTTTATGTTTCAGATTATTTCAGTGATTGATTTAATTTATTACGGATTAATGTGTGAAATTTTTTTGAAAATTAATTTGTGCAGATTTGTCGAGCGCGACGGGGATGTTGGCCAACTGTTGAGAGCACTCACCGTTGATCAAAGATGTGCGCCAACTAGATCAGCGGGCTGGCCAAAAAGCGGGAGTTGCCGAGCAGGCCCGATAAGATCCAGGCCCCGTCCGACGCAGTCCTCGAGGTCGGTGTTATTATTTATCATTTTTGTTAATATGTTGGCCTGGATTTCAATAACGAAATTGCTGAAATAATATAAATGTGAAGAAGTTTAGCTTAGCTGATAAAGAAGCTATAGCAGGCGTATCTCTATTTTTTGGCGGATATACTGTTGAATATGCTGAATAAATTGAATTTTGTAAATCAGCAAATTCCGAAATAATATCTCTACTTTTGGGAAGTTGTTGGAATTTTATTTATTCAGTATATTTTAGTGAAAGGACAAGACGAGCAGGGCTAGAAGGATTTCAACGATATTTCCAAGATGATCAAGAAGGAGATGGAGCGCTTCGGCAAGATCCGCGTCAAGGACTTTAAAGAGACGCCGGTGAAATATGTGCAGGAGCTCATGCTGCATCAAGAGCAGGTACGGCGACAAAACGCTTAGAAAATCGTGGCAAAAATGGATAAAAAGTAAATCTACAAATTCGGCAGCTGATTAAACACTGGGAAGCCTTCCTCCCGGGACCCGGAAGCGCGCTCCATTTCCACCGCGTAAACCCACGGACGCGGCCGTCCCGTCGTGCGCGGTGCTGTGCGTGCCGTGCCGTGCCGTTTGTGCGATGACCAGCGGACCGGGGGTGGCGGGGGTGGCGGGGCCCCCAGGGCGGGCGGGCAGGTGTCGGTGACGGCGGCGGTCATCAGTCGGTCGGCGATTCGGTGGGCCGCGTCAGCGCCTGGCTCACCGGCTGATCCAAACGGGAATGCCGGGAATTTCGGGATGGAATTGTAATTATTCAGCGCTCGGCTCAGCGGCGGAATTTTAGCGGGAATTTTCGGGAGAAATTATAATTATTATTTGGCTCAGTTGGGTGATGTTGAAGGGTGTTTGATTTCGTGGCGATCTCAGTGATTTCTCAGCGGACCTTCGTTTTCTTGCCCGGTGTCCAGTCCGTCGATATTCCTTTTATGCTGTTTTTTCCCTTGTTACACAATGCGTTTCATGCCACTGTAAAGTTCCAGTTAATAAATACTTTAATTCGCGCTCATTTAAAACGATGTAACGTACGGGATCGAATAACAAGATTTATCTATTCAATCAAATTTTTGATTCAAAAAAATTTAAAGTTTTTATTAAATTTTTTGCAAGGTTGTATCGTATGCGTACGTCTGACTACGTCATAATAGTAACATTACCGCAAAAAATACAGTTACTTATTGAATTGAAAATAAAATTCGTTACTGAGCGCAAGCCGCAGTATGCCTGTAGCGGCTCGTAACAAACCGAATTGGCACGTTAAGTAAGTTACTAAGTATTCAAATCAGATTAAAAGTTATCTGAAAATCTTCCATCTGAAAATGAATTATACCAAGGAAACTGCTAACAGGAAAAATGTAAGTACCATAGAAAAATATTCCAGATCCAACCAGTTGAATGCTTTGAGCGGCCAGTGGAAAAAAAAGTTGGCTGCGAAATTGCGCATGCAATGAAAGTGGCCGGTCGGCGAGCGAGCGGCGTTGTGTGGTGTTTTGTTGTGTTCGGTTCTGCGTCACGCCTTCTGAGCCGCGAAGGCCGCTTCTGACTGGCCACTGCGCTTTATCGGGCTGCTCGATAGTCGATACGGATAAGCCAGCTCGACTCACACAATGGCGCGCATCGTACTGCGATTCATACAATGACGAACGTACAGAACGGAACGCGGCCGTATCTTCTTCTTCTGCGGATTATTATCATCGTCTCTTCGCCGTCTTCCGCTCGCGTGTTTGTTTTTCGAGACTGTCAGTGGAACGGATTCGCTGAATCGGCTGTTTTCCTCTGTATCTTGATGTCATTTTTTTGTGGAAAATTCGCATTGCACAATGTGATTAATTACTGACGTAAACACTCCGCTCATTAGCGATTCCCTGTCCGTCCTGTCTTTGGAATCCCCTGTTGATACAGGAATTTCACATCATTCGACTGTCTGAGAATTTTTGAATTTCAGTTCGAAATTAATTTCGATCATCTCGAATTTTCTACCAAGTTTTTCTTTGTTTGTGTTTGGATTTGCCAGTCATTCCCGACGAATTGGTGTGGATACAGAGGATTATAGTGTTTTGTCGGATTACTTTACGATTTGCAAGTAAGTTGGACGTTTTTGGAATGTAGTTCTGGAGAACAACGCGCGTAAACCGGTCATGTCGGGACATGCTGCTCCCGGTTATGTCATCGTTCACTTGCTGCTCGGACGCTCGGTCATCGACCGTCAGGCTGTGCAGTTAGCGCGAGTGGCGCAAGTAGTTAGATCACTGTACTGAGGCTGCGTGTGGCTCGTTGACTGTACGGAATATTAAGCTCGTTCGCTGTAATTACAGGCTTCGTACAATTGCTGCTTTTTTTGCTTTGTTTGTAGAAATTTGTTCAACAACTATTTTAAACTTGATTGAATTTACGAACATTGAATTTACGAACATGAAACTAATTATCTTAAAAATTTATCTAATTATTTCTTAATCTTTGGCACAAAAAGTTCTGTAATTTTCTGAGAATTGATTTTCTGATTAAGGCCTGGATGGTCGGAATTGGGAAATGAGAAAGGCCTCGATTTCCCTCATTGTTATCTCCGACTGACAAAACTGAGCCAGCGTTTATTTGGCGAGCCCTGTAAAAGAATCTGCCGTTCTCGGCGAACAGATTTTGCAGTGGTCATCGAAAACTCAAGTGTCCGTGATTTGCATGTCGCGGCAGCGCGATGCAGCAGCAGCGCATGCAGGGAAGCGTGCAGACGCGACCCAATTTGCCCCGTTCCAAAAAAGCAGCCTTTTGTTTGTGCACAGACGTAATGACGGTGATTGGGTTAGAAGCGCGAAACCGGAAGTGGTGGTGGTCAAGGTTGAGAGCCAGCAGTGTGTGTGAGTGAGTGAGTGTGTGCATGTGTTGAGCGATTACATATTCCGCGCGGGTCAATGACACCGCGATAGCGATAGCAGCCTGCGCGAGTCAGTGCAGTGGCAATGACCTCTCGTTCATTCTGCGGCTGCACAGCTGCCGCGCCGGCTATCTCTTTCTGGCCAGTTACGACGGCTATCCGCCGCTCTCTGTCTGACCAGTCACTCCGCCTACAGAATTCTCGTGCTCTGCGCCCTTCTGCTTCTGTGCTCAGATTGCCAAGATAAACATGCAGAGCGGTTCTGAAATGTATACAGAAAATTGAAAATTTCCAATCAGATTAGTTCCTGATCATCTGTAAAATTTCCACGCCATCTGTCGTTTTTCCATCCTGAATAAATTTTTGAAACACGATCACATGATCATTGTTTGGATAGATGTACAAATGTTGCTTGAAGTTTGCACAGCGGCATTGCATAATAGAAACCGCAGCGTTTTAAAATGTTTTAAATTAGCAAAACAAATTTATATGTGAAAATTGGAATGCGGGCGTATGATTGTTTACGTTTGGTTTTACCAGAATTTAAATTAAAAAATAAAATGCAGCGATTTAGGCTTGAATTTTTGTAAGAATACTTATAACGTAGTTTGGGGAAAATGCTAAAATGCGAACGAAAGTACTATAATTAAATATATTGTTGCAGAATTAAAATCTTTAATATGTGGCACCGAATCAGTTTGATTATCTGTGAAATATCTTTGGCAAATTATGAGGTATTCGCTTTTTCTTCAAAAGAAAATACACAATAAGATTGAACGCGCAGCGGCAGTAATATTATGCCAATTGTGAAATGGCCATTTTTGATAACTAGCAATTAGAAAAAATGTGTGTTAAACGATGGGAAGATTGTCGGCGAGTGTTAAACGGTGGTGCATCGGTGTAGCCAGCCTACTAATCCGTAATCGTAGTGAGATGGCAGCGAAACCCATTGTGCGCGCGCAGGTGAATGACCGCGAGCGAGCGCCCAGTCTGCCGTATCAGGCGCGTGCAAATGCAAGAGATACGCACAATCTCTTATCAATAATTATTCCCGCGTTATGTGAATCCGCCAGACGCCAGAGAGTAAGATTACTGGATATCCCACTTCGCAGCCCGCTTCACTTTTTCGCTTTCCCGAGAACGTCCTTAACCGGTTACGCAATGGGCTGTGATCAGCTGGCGGTGTACACGCTCAGCCTTGGCGCAGCTGGTCACTGACCTCGCGCATTACGCAACCGTACTTGTCAGTACGTGTGAGTGAAGTGAGACATGTGCTGCTGTCTGCCGCACTCGCTGCACTTGCTGTTAAGCCGTTGTACGTACGTACCGAGTGGACGTTGGTCTGCGCTGTGCACCGCGGCACAAAAGAGCAACAGACAAGTGAGCGCGCATGCTAAAGCCTGAATGGACGCTGGCCGAGCGGCTATCGATCGGTTTTGGCACCGCTGCTGAATCGTCTGTTAGTGCATTCTACGCGGAATGACGGATTTTGTTGTAGTACTTGTTTTGAAAATTGTCTAGCGCTTGTTTTAAAATTAATTTTTAATATCGTGATCGTGTCGATGTTGTTCTACTTGATAATTGTTGGATAAAAATTGGTTGATTAATTGTTAGTGTTGGTGGCTGTGAATGAATGTGGCGCGGCGCGATGAGCAGCAAGGAGGCGACGTCGGCGGTGCACCGGGCCGCGGACAGCAGCCAGAAGAAGGCCGGCATCCTCGGCTGCGGCGCAGGGTCGCTACCGATGCCGATGAAGGGCAAGACGGCGAGCAACAGTCCCGCCGTCTTCGAGGCCGGCACCATCCACCTCAGCATCGACCAGATCAGCGGCAAGGTCCTCAATTATCCCGCCGGCACCCTCTTCCCGGGATCCGTCGTCCTCTTTGAACAGGTGCGCGTGCCAGCGAAATATTCCTGTTATTTGCAGATAATTTAAATTTATTTTGGAATTGCCACGTTCACGATTTTGATGGATTCGTATGGCGAAATATTTATTTTATTTATTTTGCATTTGAATTTTTTACGAATTTGAATGGTGCTTTTGCGCGGATTGCGTTAAACTTTATTTTATTTTCAGCAGGAAAAATTAGATAAAATTCTCCACTTGAAATTCTCAAAATTCATGATTATTCTATTTTAAAAATTAATTTTCTGATTTTTTCAATCTTTTTTTTACAAAGCAGTTATTCGGTTACATCATATTTGGTTTGTGAATAATTTGACCGTTGCCGGCATGAAGTTGGTTGGCTGTGTGAGTGGAAATTGGCAGTTGGTCTGATTGCAGTCAGCCGACGAGGATCCGCTGCTGTTCCACTCGACGGAAGTGTACGGGTGCGGCGGCGGCGGCCTGGAGGGCGAGCTGGAGGGGGCCGGGGAGGCGGAGGCGGGGGAGGAGGCGCAGCGGCGGGCGCTGGGTCTGACGGACAGCGACGGCAGTGATCCGCTGCAGGGGGCGCTGCAGCACCTCGAGGCCAGCACCACCACCTCCGAGATCTCCGACCTGGACCTCCACACCACCAAGGATGCCGGTAAGTGCTGCTGTACACTTGTTTCCACAGAAAAATAATTTGTAAAAATACATTGCAATTAATTCTGATTTATTAATCTAATATTGGCGTGGTTTCTTAGACGGCAGTCTGCAGGCCGCGGCCGACTCCAACTCCTCGACGCCCAGCAAGATCGCCGTGCCGTGCAAGGTGTGCGGCGACAAGGCCAGCGGCTACCACTACGGCGTCACCAGCTGCGAAGGCTGCAAGGTGTGTCCTGCTTTTCGCCTTGGTCGTCTCTTTGAACAGATATTAATGGTCGTTGTGGTGCAGGGCTTCTTCCGGCGCTCCATCCAGAAGCAGATCGAGTACCGCTGTCTGCGCGAAGGCCGCTGCACGGTGCAGCGCGCCAACCGCAACCGCTGCCAGTTCTGCCGCTTCCGCAAGTGCCTCTCTGTCGGCATGTCCCGCGACTGTACGTCCATACATACAATCATTTTGTCCAATTTTTATTTTCATTTCTGCAGTAGTTATTCAAATTTGTTTCGTTTCAGTATCTCGAATTTTTGAATGTTAATCTGACATTTTTTATTTGTTTTAAATTTTAAAATAATCGAAATTAAAATTTACTTTTCGAATAATTAAGTACCCAGTTGAAATTAGTTTGAATTACCTGGTTTAAAGTTTGTTTAATTTAAATCTCTTTTAACTTAATACGTTTAGTTTTATTGAATGTGATTTAATCCGCATAATTTAATTAAATAGTTTAAAATTTGTTGTTTTATTAATTGTTTATGTAGATGTCTTTGAATTTTTTTTAATTTTTTTAAAAATTTAACTTTTATTGAAAAAGATGGTGATAACTGTGATGTAACGGCAGCCGTCCGGTACGGGCGCGTGCCGAAATCGCGGACCCCGCGCCACGCGGACCCCTCGACGTCCAAGCACCCGCCCCCGTCGGCGCCCCTCGTGGACTCCTCCTCCGCGGCCTACCCCGGCGGGGTCATCAAGAGCGAGTCGCCCGACTCGCAGTCCCACGGCCAGCTCCCCGGGGAGCTCAGCGAACTGGGCGTGGAGAGCGAGCAGCAGCTGCAGTCGGTGTACAGCGTCATCCTCACCGTCAGCCAGGCGCACACAGCCAACTGCTTCTACACCGAGGACAAGGTGCGCCAGCTCCTCAACACGCGCCACCCGGCCATCCTCACCGAGCCGGAAGCGGCGCCGCCGCGGCTGCCCAAGGGCGGGCCGCAGCCGCAGTGCGCGCCGGACAGCAGTCACCTGCAGCGGATCCTCATGTGGCAGAGCCTGGCCAACCTGATCAATCCCGCCATCCAGCGGAGTGTGGAGTTTGCGAAGAGGACGCCGCGCTTCGGCGAGCTGAGCCAGACGGAGCAGCTGATCCTCATCAAGGGCGCCTTCTTCGAGATGTGGATGCTGCACATCGGCCGGATGGGCGTGCACGGCCAGTTGACCTTCCATGACGGCAGTTACGTCACGCGCCAACAGCTCGAACTCATCCTCGAGGTAAAACAATTACAGTTTCTCCATTAAATTGGAATTAATTTTCTCGTTTACCTTACGGTATTATTATCCTGATTTGTACAATTATTTTCCTAATCTGTCTAATAATTTCCTGATTTATTTTCATAATTTACTGAATTATTTTTCCACGTTGATAAATTATGTGTCCATTTTATTTCAATAAGTTTCTTGAATTTTTGCGCAGTTTTCCACGCTTCTTACCAGTATTCACAGGAATTATCGTAGTGCGGTGGCAATCTAGAGTTTTGTCGGTCATCCGCTGCTACAGTTACTTATGTTGCAGGATAAATTCGTCAAACGAGAGCAAAATTAATGCTTTGTCGCTGATATAATTTTCTCCTACATATTCAGCTGTTTGATAAAGTGGGTAACCTTCTGGTGCATTGCAGGCAGACGTGGCCGGGCGGATGTTCAAGTTCTGCGCGGACATGCAGAGTCTGCAGCTGACCGACACCGACATCGGTCTCCTCTCGGCCATCGTCCTCTACACGCCCGGTACGTCGTCAGCTGATGTATTAATTTGTTTATTCAGTTAAATTTTAATTGGATCTAATTGGAATTAAATTAAGCATTGTTTTTTTTTACTGAAATAATTGTGATTGTTTCCCGCGTGTTACGGTAGACCGCGTGGGATGGGGCGCTCCGTCGGCGGTGGCGGCGATGGAGCGGGAGCTGCAGCCGCGGCTGGTGGAGCAGCTGCAGGAGAGCCTGCAGGAGGCGCTGCGCGTCCACTTGCGCCGGCAGCGCGCCGGCGAGCCCTTCTTGTTCCAGTCGGCGATGGCGCTGCTGGGCGAGCTGCGCAGTGTGAATCAGCTGCACGGCGAGCAGCTGGACTGGTTCCGCGCCAACTGGAACTACTTGACGCACATGCCGCCCCTCTTCGCCGAGATATTCGACATACCCAAGAACGACCTCGAGGTACACCCATTTCATTTGCTCACATTAAATTATTAAAATCGCCGATTTATTACCATTTAAATTGCTTGAATTATTCAGTATTTTCCTTTTTAGTTTAATTTATGGCGTTACTCTTCTATTTGCAGTATCAAATGATGTGCAACAACGGCGCCGCCTGCTCATGAGCGCCGCCATGTACAGACAGCGGAGCAGGTTGGTCGAGGAAATCGGAAATAAATTTGCAATAGAAATAAAAATTATTTGCAATTGTTGATTAAAATAGAAATAAATTTGCGAAAAATATTGCAGTATCTTGTAGAAAGTGTTTAATAGTAAAATACTGTTGTAAATGTATTTATTTTGCCTTTGCAGCGGCGGTGATGAGCGTGTGGACCGATCGGCTTTCGTGGTGGACGCCCGGATATTGCTTGTGGAAAATGATTGGGCCGGCAGTGCGCGCCTGCAGTTGGATTGTAGTTTTACGTTGTTAGAGATGACTAGTTGCCTATTCTGATACAGATGACGTTATAGTAACTGGATTTTGATTTGAATTATCCTTGCCTCTTCTTTTTGTATTCGGTTAATGTACTCGCAATGCTCGCCTTGGAAAGCCAGCCAGACGGATGATCGTCGGAACGTTCTCGATGTGAATTTTATTTCTTCTCTTCCTTTTCCTTTCCTCTCTCATGACCAAGTATTGCCTGATCTGTCCGATTCCGATTCGACGGTTTGCACCGTTTTATACGCCGTGTTTAATTTCCAGATTCGATTTGCGCTGTTTTTGTTGTTGTGTCTTGCCTAATTTCTAATAAAATATTTTCTTCGATTCACAAAACGATTTTCCGCAGCGCTGCAAACTGCAAATTCAATAAATGAGGAATAAGTCCAATAGATGAGAAAAATGGAAGAAAGGTCAACAGTCAAAACTAAAACGGAAAAATATAACCAACTTTCGTACGGCTTGACATTCATGCCAGTATCGTATTAGCGCTAAATGGTGGCAGGGGGTCAAGTGATAAAAGAAACGGAAGAGACCGAACAAAACAAGACGTAAGGAATGCAGCCGCGTATCGTAGCACAGTGGCTGCTATCTGCACGTTGCCCTGCTTGCGCTGCTAAAGGCTGTTCCGCTCACGGGCAGAGACCAACAAATTCTATTCAAGCTTACGTTATTATCGACAGATTTGTTTGCTTTTTCATTGCGTAGGTTGTTGTGACAGGTGTAAATGGAATTATTTGATTTTCTCAACTTTTGTCTGACCATAGCGCAACGGCGGAAGCGGAAGAGAGAAATTGAATGAGACTGGCCAAGCTGGCTGCCGTCGCGTGGGCGGTCGCGCGCGCGCTCCAGCCACTGCAGTCACTCGCGCCAATGCAGCTGCAAACTGGCAAACACTAACAAAATGCACCTTTCCTTTTCCAGCGTTTTCGTGATTTTGTGACTTTGTCTTTTGAGTTGTTAGATTTGAGAAATGTCCACCTGCATGTTGAGTGTTTATTTGAAGTTTTTCTGGACTATATCTTAGTATTGCAGTGATCTGTGATGAAATTGTAGCCTGAGACGGGCAGCGCGAAGTGACTGCACAGCGTTGTGGCGACGATGGAGTCAGGCGATCCGAGCGGAGACAGCAGCGCTCTTCCCGCGCAGAACGTGTCCGCTACGGTCTCCCCGGCCGTGGAAGCAGGCAGCGCTGCAGCGGGGGATCCTGCTGTTCCTCCGGCCCCGGTGGCGGGCGCGGGCGACGCGCCCGTGGTGGACACGGAGGCGGAGAACAAGCGCAAGGTGAGCGAGTACCTTGAGGCTGTCAGCCAGTTGGCCGCCAGTCGCGCGGCGGAACGGCAGCGCGCCGCCAGCGCCGAGTACCCCGAGGATGACTTCTACAGCACCCTTGACTCCAAACTCAAGTCCTGCACGGGGTACATCAAGAAGCTCAAGAACCTCACCGAGTCCCAGCACGACACCCTCGACAAGGACTTCCACGGTAAATACACAAGAAATTACAAACATTTGTTTTTGCAGTTGAACATTTAGAGAATATTCCTGACAATCATTCAGTTAAATTAGTGTAATTCAGCCATTGAAATACGCTAATATAAGTAGAATTATTTTTTTACGATTTCCAACCAAACAGATAATACGATTTTTTCGCAATTGTTTTCGTACTTTTTCGTCGTACGATTACGGTGAATTAATGGTAAATTATTCAAAAGCACAAGAAATAAATAAAAATAATCATAACCTGACGATTTCCAATTGTTTATTATGGTACGAGTGATGAAGTAAATCGGTAATCGATGTTCTTCAACGGATAAGGATAGGTGAGAGTGCCCGTTTACCGGTTTACGGGCTTGGCTACTCGAAATTAAATCAATCATTCAAGCAATCAAACAGCCTAAAAAAGGAATACCATAAATCGCAAAAATTGTTGTAATTATTTGTAATCGTTGGGATATTTTCACTGATTAATCTAAAAATAACAGGATCCCAATTATGTCGCAACTAATGATGGAATAAAATAGCCGGAAAAATAAACAGAAAACCCTGGGAAAATTATTTTGAATATAGTATAAAATTAAAAAAATTTGGAAATTATTTGTGAAAATGATTAATCTAAAAATAACAGGATTCTAATTATTTCACACATAATGATGGAATAAAGCAGCAGGAAAAATCAGCAGAGAACCTTGGAAAAATTATTTTGAAGATGTATAAAAATAAAAAATATTGGAAATTATTTGTGAATATTTGTGAATATATTGTGTTGATTGTTTGAGGTCTGAATCTGCGGCGGTACGTGTCGGAGGCGACGCAGGCGCTGGCGGAGGCCAAGCTGAAGGTGAGCGACGTGCCGACCGCCCTGCACGTCAGCGGCCTGCTGCAGCGCCGCTACGCCGACTTCGCCAGCAGCATGCTGGACTCGTGGCGCCGCGTGCTGCCTTTGACGCGCAGCGATCCCGTCAGCAACCCCTCCAAACTGCGCGTCGACTTGAAGTTCCTCCCCGAACAACTCCTCACCGGCCTAATACCGCTCAAGCCCGCCCTCGCCCTCCTCAAGGACTGCCTCGCCGCCTTAATAGACCAGGACAAGGACGACCGCCAGCTGCTGCCCCTCCTCACCGTCTTCGCCAAGAACTTTGCCTTAGATTTCCTCGGTGCGTTAAGAATTCTTTTAGCCGCAATTCCCCAATTTTTGTGCATTTATTTTCCTGTTTTTCCTGAAATTGTAAATTTTTTTCTTTATTTTTTCCTGTATTTTGTACAAATTTGGCTGGCGATTCTTTTATTATTTTGAATTAATTAATAGTGAATTTTTATAAATTAATCGAATCTTGTGCCAGTAATTAATTTAAATTAGGATATTGATATTCATTTTGTATGAATTGCTGACAAAATTAATTTGAAAATTCCTGTATAATTGCAAAATGAAAACGTACGTAATTGTGAAATGGATTGAATTACCTCGTAATTACAAACTGATTACTCGTAAATGATTTACAATTAACAAATAAAATAAGTGATTTGAAGTTAAACTAAATACATTATACAGAATTATTAGAGTAAATGAAGAGCAAATTCGAAATACGAAAATTAATTAACTGGAAATTATCAACAAATAAATTTCAATGTAAATTCCAGTTAATTCCAGATTTATTCGAATAAAATTGGAGATTAATTCTGAGAAAATGGAAGTTAATTAGAATAATTGTTTTTGGATTAGAATTAATTGATTAATTGATTGTAGGGGTGCATCCGAAGAAGATGCGGCTGCTGGCGGAGCAGGCGGCCCCCGAGGCGCTGCCGCTGCCCCCGCCCACCTTCCTCCCGCCCGAGACGCTGGCGGCCTTCAAAGCCCTGCTGGACAAGTACTTTGACGCGTTGAGCCGGCAGTTAGAGAGCGAGAACCAGCGGCTGCGCGATCTAGAGAAGGCGCACCGCCGCCTGATGGCCTCGCGCGGCGACGTGCCCGCCGACCGCCTCGACAAGTACGACGCCTTCCTCGCCCAGTTCAACAAGCTCAAGAACGCCATGCTGGTGTTGGGCGACGCCATCGACCGCGAGCTGCCCGTGCTGGCGCCGCGCGAGGAACTGGAGGACACCAAGATGACCATCGAATTGCTGACCGTCGATATCGGTACGAATTCCCAGAATAAAATGGCAAAATAAATTAAATTTAATTACTTAATGAAAACTCAATAAAATTGGCGGCAATTTCCGGTAGGCGACCGCGCCGGGCTGGCACCCATCTGGAACGACGAGGACGAGCGGGACTTGTACGAGAACCTGCCCGACCTGAAGGCGACGATGCCGAGCATGGCCTACAAGGACAGCCTGGCCGAATCGGCCTCCACCCTCCCGCCGGCCCCCGCCGAGGACCCCATGACGCTGCTGGACGCCGTCATCCAGGCCGATGCCGAGGCCGACGCCCCCGGGACCCCCGAGGCCCCTCCGGAGGCCCCCAAAGCGGCCGCGGAGGCCCCGGCGCCCAAGGAGACCAAGACGGAGAGCGTGCGGAAGCCGGTGGCCCTGCCGCGGCGCTTGGGCGCGGCGCTGAAGGGCGGGCGGAAGAGCGGGCTGGCGGATCTGCTGGACACCCTGTACGAGGGGGAGGAGGGCGACGGGGAGGAGGAGCCGGGCGTGGCCGTCGAGGAGGAGTACGACAGCGTCACCAGCGCGCTCAGGCAGATTCTGGACGCGTTTATCGTCAGTCTGCCCAAGGTGTCGTCCAAGGAAGCCATCGACAAGGTGAAAAAACTATTCTTAATTAAACTGAACAATTTCATGTTGAATTTTTTTCACAAGATTTTTTTTTATAGTCTGGAAAATCGGCATTTTGAAGGAAAGTAAAATTACGCTTTTTAAAATCTTGAAAATCTGCATTTGGAAGGAAAGTAAAATTGCGCTGTGTTTTTTGACAAAATTGGCTTAGAATGTGAGAAAACAGCGCAAAAATCTGGACTGGAAAATCTAGATATACAGCCGTATTTTTAGAAAATGTGAATTTGTATTCGATTAATCAAAAAATTTATTAGACTAGCAACGGGAAAATATCGAGGTATTTTTCGAAAATTTGAAATTGTGGCAACGAAAAAAAATTAGGCAACAAAAAATCGGAAATATGGCTTGGTTGTGTGAAACCAAAATGGCAGAGAATCAGTTTTTTTGAATCACATAAATTTGTTTTAGGAATTTATTTGTAGCGTATAATAATAAAAAAAATTGGTGTGCTAATGTGGGCGTGTAATACACAGATGGCGGTGGACTTTTGCACGAATCTGAACCGACGCAACTACCGGCGCCGGCTGGTGGCGGCGCTGTACGGCGTGCCGCGCAACCGGCCCGACCTGCTGCCGCTGTACGCGCGCCTAGTGGCCATCCTCAACCCCGTGATGCCCGACGTGGGCGGCGAGCTGAGCGAGGCGCTGCGCCGGCAATTTAGATGGCTGGTGCGCAAGCAGGACCCCCTCCGCCTCGAGTCCAAGATCCGCAACGTCAGATTCATGGCCGAACTGACCAAGTTCACGATTGTGCCGCGCGCCGAGACGTTGCTGGCGCTGAAGATTTTATTGAACAACTTCAAGCACCACAACGTCGAGATGGCCTGCTCGTTGCTGGAGCACGCCGGCCGCTTCCTCTATTGGTCCCCCGACTCCCACCCGCGGTCAGTCACGTCGCCGTTAAATGCCGCATTTTCTCCTATTTATCGGACAGGCATTTTCTCAGATTTATTTTGGATTATTTCTCTAATTTTTTTATTGATTATTTTTTCGTTTTACCAAGTTTTTTTTACTTCTGTTGTAATAATTTTCTCGTTAATAAATAATTTGCTTCCCTTCTGGATTTCTTTCTAAATAAATATCTGGCAATTTTTATTAATAATGGTTATTTTTCTGTCATTGAAGTGTTTTTGCAGTAATTTTGGTTTTGACGATTTTTTCGTTGATGGTTATATAATTTTTTCTGGATTTCTGAGTGGATGATTAGTAAATATTTTGTGTGGATATTTGCAGGATGAAGATTCTGGTGGAGGAGTTCCTGCGGCGCAAGGGTCTGCAGCATTTCGACGCGCGCATCGAGAGCATGATCGAGAACGCCTACCTGGCCTGCGCCACGCCCGAAACGGCCAACCGCCGCTCCGCCAGCAGCCGGGTAGGCCCGTTTTCCGCTTGTATCCTCATCGGACTAGATTAATTCCTGATTATTTTAAATCATTTTTAATTGGCTCGATAATCGCTGATTTTTAAAATTGTTCTTTTTTGCCATAATTATACAGGTATTTATTCGTTTCTAAATCGCAATAAATGTTAATAATTTTAGTCATTATTTTCCATGTTGCCATAAATAACAATATACAATATTCGTGGTGTCCTGATTTATTCAGAAATAATAGATAAAATAATCAGTAAAATTAATTAATGAAAATAAACCAGCAAATATTCTGAATAAAAATGAATAAAAATATTGTTAATGTGTAGAAATTATTTATTTGCCCATTTTTTGCAGGTGCTGAAGGTGCGCACACCGATGCAGCTGTTCATCCGCAAGCTGTTCCTCTCGGAGCTGAACACGGGCGCGGACCCGACGGTGCTGATGGGGTTGTTGCGGCGCTTGGCCTGGGACGAGCCGGCGACGCTGGAGTACGGCGTGCGGTATTTAAGCGCGGCGTGGAAGCTCAACTACGCCGCGATCCCCGCGCTGGCCAGTATTTTAGCCGGACTGGCCAACTACCAGGACGACGTGGCCGTGCGCGTCGTCGACAACGTGTTGGAGGACATTCGCGTGCATCTGGAGCTGAACAACCCCAAGTTCAACCAGCGCCGGCTGGCCATGGTGCGCTACCTCGCCGAAATGTACAACGTACGTATGAAAATCACCATATTTGACTGTGATTTTTCTATATTTATTCACATTTATTTGCAAATTTTTTTATAATTATTCACATTTATTTGCAATTTTTTTAGAATTATTTTCGTACGTTTATTGAGATAGAAAATTGTTCGGATTTTTTATTCTGTATTTATTTGCCTTTTTTCTCCCCTTTTTTAGGTTTTGTACAGGTGAAATAAAAAAAATGAAATTATTAAGCTAAAAACAAATTAGAAGAAAATGGTGAGGTGATTTTTATTGAAAATTAAACTGCATAAAAATTTCGAATCAAATCAGAATGGTGAAATTCGAGCAAGCATCATGATGGTAGTGTTTTAATTGGATGATTCTGTGTTTTCGTGCGCAGCTGTTCCACTGCACTACATTATTACTACACTACTTACATTGTTAGTTGCTAACAGGAAAACAATTCTTCCTATTTGTATGGCAGTTTTATTCTGAATTTTTTGATGGGTACACTTCTGTTATAATAAAATTAATTTCTATTATAATATGATACAAAATTAATTTAAGAAAAAATAAAAGGGGAATATTACGTTTGATGGCTAAATTGAAATAGAAAAAACTGAATTTATTTTAATTGTTTGTTTGTATTACTGTGCAGTACCGCATCGTGGAGTCTTCTGTGATCTTCAACACGCTGTACTCACTGGTGCTGTTCGGGTGGGTGGGCGACGCGCCGACCAGTCTGGACCCGCCGGAGCACCTGCTCCGCCTGCGCCTCGTCTGCGTGTTATTATCAACCTGCGGCGAGTACTTCAGCCACGGCGCCGCGCGACGCCGGCTGGAGCAGTTCCTGGTGCTGTTCCGGCGCTACCTGTGGCTGAAGAAGGAGAGCCCCGTGTGGAACGAGCGCACGCCCTTCCCGCTCACCATCCAGCATCTCGTGGAGGACACGCTGGGCGCGCTGCGCCGCGACTTCCCTCTCCTCAAGAGCCTCGCCGAGGCCGACGAGGCCCTCAACAAACTCAACCAGAAACTACAGGCACGTTAGTTATTTTGTTTTAGCTTTTTTTGTCATTTATTGGTCGATTTAATTATTTAGGAGAAGGTGAATGTGGACTCGGTGAGCGCGGCCGCGGCGGTGGGCGGGAAGAAGGAGGAGCCCGTGGTTAGTTCGGCGTCGTCGTCGGAGAGCGGGAGTCGGTACGGCAGCAACGTGGATTTGACGCTGCTCAGCGGCGGCGAAGAGCAGCCGCCCGCCGACGGCGCTGCGCTGGTGACGGAGGAGCCGCCACCGGCGCCCGTCACCGCCGAGGACGTGGACTTTATGGCCGTCTTCGACCGGCTCTCCTCCGAGAGCTACCAGGTATTTCTATCGTCAGACGAAATCACAGCAGATTCCTAATGTATCTACCACAGAAAAATGCGTGTTAAACGTTGCTGAATGTAGGAGTACGTTGTAGTGCAGTGGCTATGTGGAAAATTTCCAGCCGTTCACAGCTGCAGTAGTAGTCTTCGCTGCACAAATGCATCTGTATCGCGATTTATTCAATAGTTTTTTCTCGTGTTTTTCGTCTTAATTGAATTTTTTTTACTATCCAGTTGGGTAATTAGTAGGAATTGTTTTTGTCTGTGCAATTAATGTGCAGTTAATGGGTGTATGATGTGTTTGTGCAGAGTCAGGCGGCGAGCAAGGTGCCGCAGTTCAAGTCGGCCATCCCCTCCACCGTCAAGGAGCAGCTGCAGACCAGCCACGCCGCCGACGCCAACGTCGGGACGCCGCTGCACCCCGCCACGCCCGGCCTGGACGCCCCCGACGCCGACAGCGGCGCCGCCGCCGCCGCCGCCGCCGCCGCCGCCGCCGCCGCCCCGGGCTCCGCCGGCCTCGTCCGCGTCGGCCTCATGACCAAGAAGGGCCAGAAACAACACGTACGTGCCGGCACGTTCGCTCTTCCAACCAACTGAATGAATTATTTGTCCATGTACAAGTCACTCCGTCAACAATAATAATTATCAACTAATTATTCATTAATTCACAGAAAAATCAGTAATAATTATTAGAAAATGGAAATTCATAGAAAATTCTATTGACAGCATATCAAGTTCATGGAGATGCCGGCGGACACGGAGTACGTGACGTTGTGGCGTGCTGCGGAGGAGCACGAGCGGCAGGAGCGCAGCGAGATGCTCAGGCTGACGCTGGACATGAGCCAGCGCCAGGAACGCGAAGAATACGAAGGTCAGTAAAGAACGTACATTGTAAAGGCGCCATTTCACCGTCAACTTGTTCACTAAATGTTTCTGTATTAACCTCAGTACTCCTTCTTTATTTAACCTGTTTTATTTGCATGCAACTATGCTTCGATTGAATTATCCAACCGATTTTCGTCTGTTCAGCTATTATTCAGTTTATTTGGATCTGTTTAACGCTGGTCTATTTGCTGTTTGCGCAGCGTTGATGGGATCGGTGTCGCGACCGCTGCCCGCCGGCGGGATGCGGCCGCGGCTGCCCCTGCGCGCGCCCACCGCCCCGGGACCGGGCGGCCAGCAGCAGCAGCAGCAGCAGCGTGCCCAGGGTTACGGCTACGCGGCCAATCAGCACTACTACCGCGCCAATTAACTGAATTAACCGTCATCCGACACGGAAATGGATTCACTGACCAACACTGCGCGCGACCATGCACTGTTGTAGTGCAGTGCCACGCTCCATTCCCCGCCGTCATCAACTGCCTGATTTTTGCTCGTTGATTCTTCAGTGGAATATTTAATATTGCTTCATGTTTTCTAAACGCCTTTTACTGCATTTTCTGCTGCGTTGCCTCACTGACTACGTGTAAAAATAAATAAAATTATAAAGCATAAATTTGGAAATAAATCGCGAAATAAAATACTAAATAATTTTGAAATAAATTGCAAAATAAATAGTACGGAATGAATAAAAAATACAATAACTGACGAATAATAAATATGAAAATAAATAAATAAATACTTCGATATTTATTGTGGCAGCTTGACGTCACTGGCGAACGGTAATGCAAAAATCAGCTTATTACAGACAAGTAAAAGTAAGAGAAAATAATCAAACGCCTTCGCAAACACAGTGAGTGCAGTGCGCCCGTGTCAAAATCGCATAAACGCTCGCTGCGGTCCAACAGCCGAACCGACTGCAACGAAAGCTAGAAAATAACTGGCTATTTCTATATAGCAATGGTTAATCAACTCCACTCCCAACTGAATAATACGCAGCAATAATTGCCCCTTTTTTCTTCACTGCACTTTGGCGAAACAGGTAGCGCGTGGATTGCACAGGCTTTTTCTTTGTACGAAAATCAGTCCTCCATGTCGTCGATCTCGTGGGGATTGAGGATGCCGGGGACGGCCATCTGGATCTTGCGCTTGTCGTCCTGCGCCTTGCGCAGCAGCGTCTCGCGCTCCTCCAGGAACAGATCCGTGTCGTCGTCGCCCGTCAACTCCTGCAAATATTATTAATAACAATAATTTCGTCAAAAAACAACGGAAATTCCGTCAAGTAAATAATTCCGTTACAAAATCAGCAATAATTTCGGCAGTCATTTTTTGTACCTTGATTTGGACGAGAAAGTCGCGGAGGTGCTCCTTGAACTGCGCCACGTCCTGGTCGAGGTTGAACATGCCCTGGAGAGTGATCTTCATCTGCGACCTGAGAAACAGACAGGCGAATCAGTCACCACCCACTCTGCGACAGAAAAGAGGACAAAACAGGGATGAGCGTACTCGGTGAGGTGCGGGAAGGCCGTCTTGAGCACCTGGTGCAGGTGCTGCAGCAGAAAGGCCACGTTGTCGCCGCCGGGCACGTTGGGCGGGGCCGCCGGGTCCAGCGCCACCAGCACCTTCTTGTCGTCCACCAGACTGAACATGTACGCCAGGATCATCGAGAACAGACTCAAATCTAACATAACAACACCATTTCCCATTTATTGGCTAATTAATTGGCAATTAATTACAATTTAATTTCCCATTTATTTCATTTATTGGCTAATTAATCGGCAAATAAATCGAATTTAATTGGCAGTTAATTAGCACTTAATTGGTTAATTAAAAGGACGTACTGCCGGAATGCGTGGGATCGCTGGCGACGGAGAAGAGGTGCTCGAGGAGCGTTAAATAATAGGCTTTGTAGAAGGACTGCGCCACGTCGGCCGGCTGGTTGGCGATGTTCTTCAGCAGCGTGTACAGGATCTGCAGGCCTGAATAAGCCAGAAAATCCTTTATTAATTGATTATTCGCCGCCAACGAGCGCAGTCAACTCGGTACCGATCTCGGCGACGTTGCGCGTGTGGTGCTTGAAGGCCCAGACGATGGAGTCGATCACCAGCTTGAACTGCGCGCCCGGGATGCTTAATAAACCCGCGAAGCACTTCTGGTTGACGCTCTGCAGCAGCAGGAAGAAGTTGGTGCGGTGCTCGGGGTACTCCGCGAAATCCTTGTTGATCATCTCCAGCGTGCACTGAACAACGAGACACACACTTTAAATCACTTCCCACAATGCCAAATAATTACCGGAATCATTCACGAATATTCTGGCATTTTTCTACAATAACTGGTAATTATTCTCCAAATAATTCTCAATAGTTTTTAATTTTCTCTATTTAATTGGCAATTAATTCTCAGTAATTAGTAATTTTTTTTTATTAACCAGTAATTAATTCTCAATAATTCGTAATTTTTCTGGAATTAATTCCAATAATTGGTAATTTTTCTCTAATTAATTGGGAATTACTCTACACGTAAATGTTAATGTTGGTGTTAGACAAAACGGACCTGGAAGACCCCGTCAAAGATCTCGGGAATGCGCGGCGTGACGAGGCTCTCCAGGCGCTCGACGACGGAGCGGAGGAGCGACAGCACTTCCGGCTCGCGCGCCTCCGCCACGTTGGTCTTGTAGTCCAGCAGCAGCGCCTCCAGCATCGGCGGCAAAAAGTACTCGTACACCTAATCAAATTACACACATTTACAACAAAGCACAAAGGTCACTTTAAAAATTAGCTTAAATAAAAAAATTATAACAGAACACTAATGCCATAAATAAAATGAGCAATGCATGGACACTGACCAGGGGCGGATTGGTGGACTTGGAGATCCAGCAGGAGAGGATGCGGAGGATCTCCTTCTTGACGGCCTTCATGGCGCGGATCAGCGGCCCCTTGGCCACGGCCTCGCCGCCCACCGAGACGGCCGCGCTGATGTTGCTGCTCAGCAACTTGTACAGCTGCAGCGAGTCGTAGAAGATGCGCTTCAACTGCACACCAAACACAAACACACCATTCAATTAATGGTTAATTTATACTGAATTAATTCCCAATTAATTCCAATTTAATCTGTAATGAATCGCTGCGTGAAGGAACAGGAAAGGAGTGCAAAGGGGGTTGACTTTACCTGGTGGACGTAGACGTTGCCGAGGGAGGTGCAGGCGCGGTAGTTGGTGCGCAGCAGGAAGACGAACTGCTTGAGGCACTCCACGTCCTTGAGCGTCTCGGCGTTGGCCTTGACCTGCTGCACGGCCTCGTCCCAGATGGCGTTGGGCATGGACATGAGCCGCTCGATCAGCGAGGCCTGCTGGCTGTCGTCCACCTCCGAGGAGATCATGTAGCCCACCGCTTCGTAGAACGTTTGCACCTATAGCAAGGCAAAGGCGAGAGCGCCCGTTATTGGCTGAATGATCGAGGACAATAAGACAGACGTCTACACAAACCTGTTGGTGGCCAAGATCACAGATGACTGAGCGGAGATTGAGGAGGATCTCGTCGATGAAGGGCATGGACTCGCCCACCTGCACCGTCACAAAGTGCCGGCGGCACTTTTGCGCGATCTTGATGAACGTATCACAGGCCATGTCCTGCACGCCATCGTGCGTCTCTACATACACAACCAATACCTTTCCTTTCCATCGAACAACAAGACTAATGTCCCTCACCGTGCATGAACTCGAAGAGCTTGTTGACGACGGTCTTCAAGAACTTCCAGTGGGCGCGCAGGAAGCGCGGGTACTGCCCGACAATGTACATGATGTTCGAGGCGATGATGGCCTTGTTGTCCTTGCCGCGCTTCTGCTCGCACAGCCCCAACAGCTCCTGCACACCAACACCAACGTTAATAATTTTAATCCAATTTAAATACAATTAACTGCCAATTAATTGCCATTTATTGGATAATTAATTGTAATTAATTTCAGGAGATATTGACTGACCTTGATGACGGTGACGAGGAAGCGCATCTCGTCCTCCTCGTGCATGGCCCCGCTGATGGAGCCGATGGCCCAGCACAGCGTGTTCAGGTTCTTCCACGACCACTCCGCGCCGTTCACCTGCAGGTGCAGCTTCTCCGTCATGATGCGCTCCGTGTCCACCGGGTCCAGATGCGTCAGATACACTGCACAAACCAACCCCAATTTACTCTAACAATTCTCAATTACAGGCCAGTCAACATTTAATTCATACAATTCAATCAAAAAAATCCATAATATTATTAATATTATTATTAATAATTTAATCCAATTTAGACGCAGTTAATTACCAATTAATTACTATTTATTGGATAATTAATAATATTAATATTAATTATTTATTAATAATATTATCCATAATTGCGTTGCTTAATCACTGTGGAGTTTTTTTATATGATTACTATTAAACAAATCCATAAAAATACGCCGTACAACGCCGTTACCGGATACGATACAGTACCATAACAATATGAGAAAAATCAATTTAAAAAATACGAATAGTAATTTCCACAATAATTGGAACTTAATTCATGAACAGTTTCTAGCATATCCACTAATTACAAATTAATTATCACGGCATAACCGGCAAAATAAGCAAATAAAATAATAAAGTACAGTGAAAAATGGACCAATTCAAAATAAAATGCACAAAACAGAATAATTGCAAAATAAATCGAAAAAAAGGTGATCAACTTACCGAGTGTCTCGCGCATGAGTTTGTACATGTTGATGGAGTCGGTGTCCTTCATGAACTCGCGCACCACCTCGCCCTGCTCGTTCTCCACGACCAGCACCTCCTCGGGCTTGGCCATGCGCGCGATCATGATGCAGCGGACCTCGGTGAGGACGCCGTCGTAGAACTTGCGGCGCGTGTGCTGCGCCTGAGATTCCAGGCCGCCGCTCTTCATGAGGGAGGGCGGGAAGAAGATGGCGCCGGCGGAGGCGGGGTAGGCGTTGAAGGGGTGCTCGAGGTAGAGCTCGGAGGCCAGCGTGTTCCAGAACTCCAGACAGATCTTGAAGATCTCGATCTCCTCCACCAGCGAGATGAGCAGCACGTAGCGCAGCGTCTCCAGCAGCTGCGGCCGCAGCTCCGCCGTCTTCTCGATCAGCTGGCCGTGCTCCTTGCTGCAGGTGGCCAGGAAGAGCGCCAGGTTCTGGATGAACTTCTGCTCGTCGTCCGTGCCCTTCCCGTACGCCGCGCGGATGTCCGTCTCCAGCGGCAGAATCTTAACAAACGCCCACAATTAATGCCGCAACATAGATAACATATACCCAGAAATATCTCAACCAATGCCGCAAACATTACCTCACCCGACGAATAATTCACAAAATAAACGGAATATACTCCAATAAAAGCACATACTACGTAGCCCAATTATTTCACCAGTGCAATAAAAAGATTAAGCGACAATTCCGCAACAAAAATTAAATGTTGCCTCTATTCACCAGGTAAACAATTAAAGGTAATGAATACAATAAAAACAAGTTATAAATTAAAACAATGCCACAAAAAATTAAAAATTCATGCTACAAGGATATACCAAAGAAAATTAATAAATTCAAAAACAAGTGGAAAGTGCCGAAATTCTAAATGAAAGCTACTGTAGTGGAGCAGTATAACTTTACAATCTTGCGAAGTAGGAGGCTATGATGTCCCTACACTACGAAATCCGGTAACATAAACATGGCAAAAGTATAAACCTATCGAATCTTAAAAAATATCCAAGCAGAGCAAACTAATCGCACAATCAATTCACAGACAAACATATAAGTAATAATAAAAGTGAAAAATGACAAAAAAAAATTGAAAACTGATGCCGCAGTTATTTCACTAAAAAAATAATTCTAATTATAAACGATGTAAATAAAAAGAAAAGGAAAAATAATGGGAAAAAAATTAATCAATCAAGCGTCAAGATTTAGAAAGAGAATAAAAAGTTTAAAAACTGCACTAAATAATAGCTAAGCAAATACAAATAAGATAAGTTAATGCTAAAGAAATACAAAACAGAGCAAAACAGATGAACCCAGCCCGGGCCAGCCGTACAATCTCTCTAACCTGTTTCAAGTGCTCCATCGTGCCGCGGAACATGTCCTTGAAGGCGGCCTCGTACTGCGGATGCTGCGAGACGGAGATGCCGGCGATCTCCGTCAAGCACTTCAGCGTCACGTTGCGGAACATGGGCACGATGAGAAACTGCGAAATTAAACTGATTACAAAGAGATTTCGAGGAAAAGGGAAGGATTGCACACCTTCTGGATGAGACTGGGCACCAGCTTGGTCTCGAAGACGTAGCCGAGCGGGATCCAGCCCAGGAAGAGCAGCATGGTCTGCAGCGTGGCCGCCACCAGCGGGGGGTTGGTGCTGTTGTCCAGGACGAAGAGGCACAGCGGGAAGACCTGCTGGAACTCGCTGCACATCGAGTCCTTCAGGTGCTTCGTCTTGGCCTGCGTCATGCTGCCCGAGGAGAAGTCAAAGATCTCCTCGCTACAGCACGCCATCACAACCGCCCATTTAATCATCAATTCCAAGATTAATAATCAATTTATCGATGTGGCATTATTTATCAATTTTATAATGATAATATCCATTTAATATTATCCATTTAATAAAGATATTCAATTTTTTAATCATATTTATTACAATAATATTAATTTAAAATTTAATTAATAGTTAAAATTGCTTAAAGTACCTCAGGAGACGCAGGATCTCCATGTTGTTGAGACAGAGCCACTCGTTGGTCTTGCTGGCGCCCACGATGTCGGCGATGAAGGTCGGCCAGTTCTTCGGCCACTCCTTCTTCAGAATCTGCCACAATTTCGCATTAATTAAAATGATAAGAGTACAAAATATTTCGGAATAAATCGCAGTGAACAGCAGCAGAAAATGCGTGTAAATTTTAAAAAAGAAAGAACTCGTCCTCACCTGAACCAGTACGTAGTTTAATTTCGTCAAGTAGAGTTTGTGCTTCTCGTGCATTTCTGGATTTGAAGATGTGCGAATAATCAGGCCAACAATGTATGTTTTGATTCCTGCAAATAAACAACCGTTCTGTCGTAAAATTTCCCCGTTTTTATGATTATTTTCACATTTATTTATATTTATTTCTGCATTTTCCGTCAATTCTTCCCTTAATTTTTCTTGAAAATTTGGTTTCCGCTTTTCAATAAATTATCCGGTACCGACACCTATCTTTCTGTTTCTAAAATTTTTATTACTTCAAAAATTCTAACACTTGCTTAATAATAATAATAATTCGAAAATAATTATAAAATGCGAGTGAAAACTGCCGTCGCAAAAATCAGCAGAAACGAAAAATTCCAACGAAAATGAATTGTTTGATGACGACATTTAGCTTCCATTAATCCATTTATTCCTCTTTTACCTCTTCGAATGGCGATAAAAATAAACTGATTATAACTGTAAAAATTACAAGTAATAAGTAATAATAGGAAGAATGCCGTCAAGCAAGTTGAAGGAGAAATTCAAAATAATAATATAATATTCTTAAATTCGTCAAAAAAATAGGAGAAAATTCGATACAAAGTCAAAATGAACAAGCGTTAAAATCGGCTGTAAAAATGCTCAGCGCCTCACCTTCACACTGCGCCCGGGGCAGCGCCTTCCAGCGCGTCTTGATGACGTTCTCGAGGATCTGCAGGGCAAAGTACTTGGTCTCGGGGTTCTGCGAGTACTCCAGGATGGCGTCGACGCGCGTCCAGGCGTCGGGGTGCTCCTTCAGCTCCGTCAGCACCTTCTGCGCCTCCGACTGCTCGTACTTGGCGCCGCTGTACATGTAGCCCACCACCTTGTCCAGCAGCGCAATGTCCAGGCGCTCCGCGAAGTTGAGCAGTTTGCTGGCCTCCGAGGAAGCGTTGACGGAGGAGGAACTGGAGGCGGACGCAGCCAGCGGGACCTGGCCGTTGCTCATGCTGCTCATCGTCACCATCACGCTGCCAACGACTGGCCAGAGGACGGACGATCCCACCGCCGCAATCACCACCAACGGACGAGGGAAAGGAGAGTCAGAAAACGGAGAAAAGCAGTGGCGACCCACAACGTCGTTTGTGCGCCACTGACGACAGTTACACTGCTAACCAGCGAACGGCCTGCTTTTAGGGATCAGTTGATCACTATTAAATTCCCTTTTCAAAAATACCAACGGCCTGCGAATTTTCAGTGATCAGATCATCGATACGGGAAGTATGGAGAGACGATCAACCAACGCAAAAATAAAAATGACAGGATCGCTGCACTGCACTGTGCTGCTCAACGGGCTGAAAAAGCATGAAATTCACGAAGCAGGAAGCGAGTGGTTTTCACGTAACCAGCCTGATTGGGTGGTCGCTTGTGCACACGCGCACGTGATGCAGCATTACTGTACTCGGAAAGTGGAAATTCCACTTTCAGCCGATTTCAGCACCCGTTATGTTCCATACCAATGCACAATGCGTCCAGTTCCACTTTGTTATTGGAATTATAATTTGTACCCAGTTTTCTTATGACTTTTTAGCCACCGAAAAATAAGAAAATCAGACAGAGCTAATTTACACACGAAAATTTTGTTCAGGTACGTACTAAAGGAAAACACCCCGAAATATTAACAAAGATTTTCGTTAATTTGCGATAATGCTGATTAATTTTGCGGTTTATGTAGTTCGCTTGTACGTACATACGAGGATACGACTACGGTTGTACCATATTCCCATAATAATATCATAATATGGCAATATGGTACATATACCGTACCGGTACGTACAGTACCAGCGAACTATAAAAAGAGTGGTATTTTTATTATTGCGGTCTCTTCTAATATTATTATTATTTTTTATGATTATTGTGGTCTTTTTTACGGTACGACGGAAATAACAGAGAAAATTTGGTCTAAATTCGCTCCCATCGGCGCCGTCCCCATGATCGATGCCGCATTTCCTCGCTGGATTTCGATGCTGATCCGCTGGCGAAGATATTCCTTGGCTCGTTTCTCGCCAGTTTCCTGTCGTATTTTTTGTCCTGTTGTTGTAGTTGGTAAAATATACATTCATAGTATTATAAGTGCAAAATATTATGAAGTACTAATAAGTATATAGCGGCATGTTGAATTCTGAATATGACGTCCATCGACTAGACGAAGTGAACCGATGAATACTATATAAGGAACTGACCGGAAAAGTTCAGCTTCTGTATATTAACTACGGTTGACTACCTTCTTTACTCGTAGACTTTAATACATATTTGAAGAATGAAAAAGACCAATGAAGGAGCGCATGCGAAACGACTAATGCGGACCACTGGACGCAACGCACGTATCCCGAAAAGGACAATCAGCGCCCGGCTGCAGGATAACTGTACGCTATATAAACCCCGCATATCGGCACAGAATTTCGGCAGTTTTCAACAATCATGTAACAGCAGCCAGGCGCTTAAATTCTAAAGCGGTCGAAACATATCTATGTAGTCGCCATAATTCGTGCGTGTAGCGGTATATAATTCTACGCTAAGGTCTGTGCCGGGTGACCTTTCAGAGTGTCCAGTGCAGCCGATGAGTGGACCACCCATCAAGTGAGTATAAACCGTAATAACGCCGTCTCTTGCAGTCCGCGCTCACTGCACGTGCGATCACGTTGCTCCTTTATTGTTAATGGACAATTCACCGGATATTGAAGACCTAGTAGTCTCGTTAAGCGGATTGTCTGTTCTTGATATCCCAGTGAATGAATGCACATGTGGAGGATGACGTCGCTAGCGTTGCTGCATGATCAAATGGTGATAACTGGGATGGCCGGCTCATGATCAGCGGGCACTTTGCCGATGCGTCAACCAGTGAATTACCATTTGATCAGGCCAACGCCTGTGTTATTATAATTATGGAATTGTGCATTTAAGTAACCACCGCGATGATTGCACGTATTCCACCTACACCACTCGTTAATCCTGACTTACAAACCGATCGATACAGCAGCCGCTCGATATATGCATAGCCAGCATATATGTAATGGCTTAATCTCGGGTATTTCTTCACTGCACCATGTATATGCACGGCCCTTCCGCGGCCACGACCGAGGCGGCGTCCGGCGAATGGTACGATCTGGACTATTATCCCGAGATGGAGCCGCTCATCCACGAGCACTGGAAGCACTTTCCTCCGGTTTCCTATCTCTGGCACCTGGCACTGGCCATCATCGTTCTACTGCTGGGAGTCATTTCCATCTCGGGAAACGCCGCGGTGGCCTATATTTTTACGCAGTAAGCCGCACTGTTCGACAACGCAATGATTTATCTAAATACTTTTAGCGGAAATCAAACGAATTACTAGAAAACGTTAAATAAAGAAATTTTGTAACTAGGTTAAAACGTTGGTAGGACGTAAGTTGATAATTACAATCTCATAATCTCATAACGCACGAGGGCAAATTTAATTACAAATTCTGCATTTCTTTGCAATGTACGTAACCTGTCTCTATTTTTATCAAATTAATCCGCAAATCCACAGTAAATGCCGCATTGATCGACACGCAGACAAAGAAGCCCTGACGACATGCTTAGTTCAGTTTGTTTATTTGCTAGAACGAAAGGCTTACGCAACCCGTCCAACGCGCTGATTGTCAACCTGGCCATCTCCGACTTCGGCATGATGATCACGAACTGTCCGATGTACTTCATGAGCAGTCTGAAAGGCAAATGGATATTCGGCGTGCAAGGTATGGACGCGCAAGCAGCGTGTAATCAGCTGACAATGCGTAATCCTTGCAGCGTGCCGCTTCTATGGCTTCACTGGCGGCATATTCGGCTGCGCGTCCATCCTCACCATGACAGGTTAGTCAGGCTGAAAATGTCGACTACATCTTCCCGCTCACGATGTCACGAAATTCAACGCAGCGTATGTGTTTCTCAATAGCCATCGCCGTCGACAGATACCTTGTGATATGGTAAGCCCACGCTCCGCATTAAATTGCCAACTGCAGAAAAAGTTGTAAATACGTAGAAACCACTTCAAACTAGAAAGTATTATCATGTTTTACAGTAAACCCTTCCTGATCATGAAGAGCGCCATGACCCGTGAACGCGCCAAACTGGCCGTGGCTTGCGTATGGATATACAGGTACTAATAAAATTGTCGTATGCACCGTATCCGACATCCAGATGACAGCTGCACTGATCACTTAGCGGCTATTTGCACGTACGTACAACGACCGTGTCACCGCTTTAAAACCGGTTTTGCGGCTATAGCCGGTTGCGCAACGGAACGCTGCATGCAGACGACAGTTGCTCAGTGACCAATGGCTATTTTAACGTACGTCTGGCTCGTATCTCATTGGCCGGAAACAACAACCACGTTATATACGTGATTTACCATGACACTCTTGATTAATAGCGAATTCCATTAGAACAGCAAGGGAAACAGCTGATCAGCACTTGTCAGTCTTCACTGTCTCCCTTGTAAATGCTTCATTCCGCGTATTTCAATTGCAGTGCAATCTGGGCATCGCTTCCTCTTACGGGCATCAGCGATTACGTATGTGGCATTTTCTTTGATTGAAAACGGTTCTGTTTAATAATTTAATTCACGGTTCAACGCGCAGGTATTGGAGGGCTTCCTGACCACGTGCACCATCGACTACATGAACCAAGCCGCTGCCAGTCGAACCCTCATCTTCTGCTTCTTCATGGGCGCCTACGTGGCCCCGCTGACCACCATCGTCGTCTGCTACTCCCTCATCACGCTAGAAGTCTACCGCCACGCCAAGAAGTTCAAGCACGCCGCCAACCGCACGGCGGCCAGCAAGGGCGCAAAGGCCAATGAGGAAGAAATCAAGAAAAAGAAGGAGCTCAAAACCGCCAAGATTGCAGGCATGATCATTGCGCTATGGGTGTTCGCCTGGACACCTTATGCTACAGTCGCACTGATAGGTATCGCCACCAACGGCAGCTTGCTGACGCCCATCGTGTCCCAGTTACCGGCGCTTTTCTGCAAAACAGCCGCCGTCTACAATCCCATAGGTAACTAACATTTACTTCTTTTATCTTTAACAGATATCTAAACAAAGGTCACGGGGTTATCACATCATAGCAGTATGAAAGTAAAATATTATTGTCTGCATATAAAACTTCATTAATTCAAAAGGTCGCAGTCATATTAAATTAAATTGTAAAGATATATTACTATATGTAGTTTTCTTTCTATTGATATTAAAGGTCACGGTTTTGTATACGAAACTATCAAAACGTTTGTACTGTACGCTGTCATCAATATATGCACTTATTAGTATTAAAGGTCACGATTTTTACATATGAAACTATAAAAACGTTTTCTTTATACGCTGTTAGGGTATTAATATATGCAATTACAATCATGAAAGGTCACAGTGGAATATCATTGCAGTCTATGCTATCAGTCACCCAAAGTATCGCGCCGCTCTCCGCCACAAATTCCCCTTCCTAATCTGCATCCGCGAAGCGGACGACGAGGAGCGCAGCACCAGCGGACAGCGCGGCGCGTCCTCCTCGACGATGTCCAAAAGCCGCAGCGACCTGCGCAAACAGATCAGCACCACCTCGCAGACCGGCAGCGTCGACTCAGAGCTCTCCAACGTGGACGCTCCCGATACCGTTGCCACGCCCCAAGGCGGTCGACGGCGCTCGTCCAAACGCAGCCGGGTGGCGCCGGCTCCCGCCCAACCGGAAGTGGTCCTGACGGCGCTCCCGTCCGCGGCCGAAGCGCAGCAGGCGACAGTGGTTCGGGAGATGGTTGCCACGTACTCCAAGAGTGAACAGCCGACGGTGGCGTTTATACGGACGAGTTCCGGCCGCAACCCTCCGCAATCAGGTACATATTAAGGTAAGAGTGCAGCGCCACACTGCCCAGATTCTGCGTTGTATTCCGGTTTTTGCAGACGACGATGTCTGGATTAAGGAGAATGCGGTCAGTGTAGAGTTATCAACGTTCCCGTCACCCGACGTTCCGCCTCCTGTTCCTCCTCGTATGGAAAGCAGCTGCTTCTTGTACCAACGCCAGTTGTCGACGTACGATCCCGCTGAAGAGACGAACGCGGAAGTAAAGCATGTCGGTGATGTCCCGTTGTCCAGTGATGCCACACAGTTTTTTGACGAGCTTGAAGTGTTCGCGGTATCGGCCATGAATAAAAAAGTCACCACCGTGTGACGCTCTTAACACTCACTATATTCTAAAGCCTTCAGAATCCTTCCAGAGGCAAACAGCAAACAAACACTGCGTCGTTCGCTTCTCTGTGCGAAGATACTCCAAATAACCATAACACAAACCTTCCTTCCAATTTTTTGGCGGGAAAGATTCGACCCGCAAGGGTCAGATACGCCGTTGAGCGACATTAACAATCTTAACTGTGAGGCAGTATCTTTCAAATAGCCATCCTAGAATACACTAACAGCGAATTCTTAACGTAATTGATCGTCATTTTATTTTATTGGCGATAGTCAAAAGATTCTAGACAAAAACTCATTAAATCTAGAAGCTTGATTTCTTAACAGCACTGCAAATGATAGCAAAAGATGTATTATAAGAATACTGGCTACTGCCGGCGCCATCGCGAACATTATCCATAGTCAGATTTTGCGCGCAGTCTATGCGCATCACTGGAGCAACTGAGAACGCCATGAAGACCGCTTCTGCGACATAATTCCCTACCGCAGCAACTTTGCCTTTCTTGCAAAATTGCATTGCGATACCACGCATAGGAGCAGTGACAATGTAGTCTCTGGATCATCTGCAAATCGTCTTCCATGGGCAGCTTCCTCTTTCGCAAAATCGGAGAGTGTGGGTCTAAGTGGTATATACAGAACATACGCGACACCGTCTTCCAGCGATAAGCTCTGCAAATGCGGTAAATTTTTTTGGTGAAGGTGTACGGCTCCAGCGTGGCCGTGGTGCAGTACCGGAAGGTGATACCGCGTATCTGGGGCATCCGTGCAAAGTGCCGCTTCTGGATTTCTCGAACGGTGAGGAACGAACAGATTCGGCAGCATGCGCAGTCCTATGTTGTATATCTTGGCGCTGATGAAGGGCGTGCCCACTGCGACCCGCAGTTCAACGAGCTTCTCGCGGATAGGATGGATGACCTCGGGGTGGACTGGATCGGTCGTGTCGTTTCGCTCCAGTAAACCGATGGTAGTCGCTCGCGTTGGGCTAATTAAATGGACGTTTTTGTCGCATCAATACGGTCCGCTTTCCCCATAAGCAGTCAACGGCAATGTACGTTCTCGAGGTTAGAAACATGCGATATTTGTCGTCCGATCGGGGATATCATCCTTCGTCTTCGAAAACCGGGGAACAGGTAGCGTCATTCTGCCGCAGAGGTACATACTGCAGACATTCTCCGCGTGTTAGCAGATCTGTCCGAAACGGGAACGCTGTCGGCTGCGGGGCAATCGTTTCTGGAATGTGGGGAACGGTGTTGCAGTCGGTTTCTAAATCTCCGTTTGCATCTGTACAACTTACAAGCGGCACTGTCAAGATGCAACGTAGCTGTTTGTCTGGAATGCCACTTCCTTCTGTAGCGTTCTCTAGTTTTGCGTATGGCGCTACACTGCTCAATATCTGCAACTTTCACGAGGTTTGTCCGTTTGTATCCATCGAAGAGTTATTGCCAGAGGATATCAAATTACTAGCAACCGCTTTGAGCACTACGAGACCGAAGCGAAGCCAGACACAGCAATCCTGTTCGATGTAATCGCATAGTCCAGTTTGCACCGTAAGTATAGTATAACAGTAGCCGGTTTGGTTACTGTTCTAATGGGCTGGTTAATCCACCGCACCACGATCTGTCGGCTGTGGGTGTGGCGACGGCTGGCACGGTCGGCAGCGATGCTGACCCCGGAAGCTGACTACCGTTTACACTGGTGACAGCGGTGTGAGATGCGCGATCATGCCATGGCGGCCAAGCAAGGTAATGCAAGGTCATCGAGAGTTTATTAACAAGTACACAAAGCAAGATTCAGCGAGCGCAAGCTGATGAAGATGTGTAAGTATAAGCACGGGGCACGAAGCGCGGAAGCGCGTAGCAGAAAATAATTAGCAAGTTCGGAGACAGCTGTAGCAAGACTAATTCCAAGACAATTACGACTGCGAGATGCGCCCAATAAACTGTAGGAAATTAAGAATTTTGATCTCCATAATAAAACACCCAATGAAGGGGTGATTTGACTGGATACCCGAAAAGAATAGGACCACTTTTTTTCGAATGCCAGCTGTCGACTGACGGATGGCGCTACCCGGTATTTGTCAACTAAGAAACTGCGAGAACAGGTACGAGCCTAGTGAAGACAATGGTCGTCAAGCTGACAGATTTATCAATTAAATCTCTAACTACGTGTTGATATTAAAATTTGAAAAACTTGTTGTTTTCAATGTTTGCAGCGTCCCCCCCCCCCGCCATGCCGCACACCGTGCTCGCGGTATATTTTGGCCTTACACCGAAGTCTAGGAGCATTTGAGCTGTTTGATACAGCCAACAATAGTTCCCGTTCCAGCCAGACTGCTCTGTTTTGGGTGATTATAAAGGCAGGGAATAAAAGGTGCCTGGCAACTGCCACCGGCAGTGGCAGTTGCCACTACGTGTTCTGGCTAGCGATAAAACGTGGCAAATTTCAGAATCAGCTAGAATTCGCCTCGAAATGATTTCGCCATCAAACGATAAGTTATAAAGAAAGTATCTTTGTATTTTCACAAATCCACTCTATTAGATGTTTTCGCATGCTTTTTAACGTTTTTTGTGTATCTAAAAGAATCCCGCATATCCCTGTTCCCACGTACTTGCTTTCTGGTTGTAATACAAGTACAAAATTGGCACTATATATAACCAAACAGCGTTTATAACAGAAAACTGGTATCATCCCACTTCATCTATGGGACATTTCGCCTACGGAAAATTTCGCCTATAAATTCTATTCGAATCATAAATAACGCTAATACCGAAAACGTTTTCTTCTGGTTTCTTTTTTTTTTAAATCTCCATGCTTCCTGGGGTGTCTTAGGTTTTCTTAGATTTCTTGAGTTTTCTTTGGTTTTTTTGGTTTCTTAGTTTGTTTTTATGATTCGAATCAAATTGTTAGGCGAAATGTCTTTTAGCGTACGAGTACCCATGACACAAAGCGCGTTCCCCGTAGTATTTGCATAGATACTCGTTGCTTAAAAAACTCTTTCATTCCGGCCTGTGGAAGCCGCTATACCGTTTCGAACCTTCTCCATTACAATAGTTTTTTGGTTCCGTCTCCCCAGGGTCCGAAAGTTTTAAAGTCAGCAGCAAAGAAATCCAAGTTAAGTTATCTCAGCCGAAGCGTTCCATTCGTGTATTCAGATAAGAGCACGCAATCTCGACAAACTGTTTGATCTTTTTTGACATGTGGCACATTCTGGATGAAAAAAATAAAACCACCGTAGAATATCGGAATCGCATTTGGAATTTGGATTACTAAAACTTGGATCACTTGACTTGTATAACTTACCGATTCGATACCGTTTTCTTGACAGTTTTATTTTTTTTGGTTTCCTCTGTTTTTTCCTTTCTTCTTGTATTCCATACTTTTCCTTTGTTACTTATTTTAATTTATGAACACAAGAATACGCTAAAAAACATAAAAAACATAAGAAAACATATGTTCTATAAAGTCGATCTGTAAAAATAAAAATTAATTTTCTCTTTATAGGAGTTATCGCTGAATGGCAGAATCGTTTCAAGCAGTTTCTGAATTTTTTAAAGTTGCCACGTTTTATAGCTTTCCAGAACGTGCAGTGGCAACTGCCACTGCCGGTGGCAGTTGCCAGTGGCAGGTGCCACTGCCACCTTTTATCCACTGCCGATTATAAGGGTAGTCAAAAGCCAGCTAGCGGTGCTCAGAGCGGTCAAAGTTCTAGGCCGCCGTTTTGAATGACACACTTCCCTTGCACCAACTCACCCATAAAATTAAAAATAAATCTTTGCTATCTGTACCGCTACAGTACGGCTTGTACTTATTTTAGCGCCTCGGGCTCATTTTAGGATGTCAACGCACTGATTCTTTGGGATACGGCCCTGTACAGATTCTTTACCCTACTACCTAAAACTACAAAGTACTCAGTAGCTACTATAAGGTGATCAGCCGTTTTCTCACTGCTTCCTATGTCGCTTTCATCGAAGCTTTTTTTATGCCTAATCTCAATGGCCATTGACCATCGGTATCAAGCAGAATCAGAATGCATACTAACGGTAAGTACTGGATCACATATATTGTACGTATACCGGCAGTACCGCCCTTATTGATTTTGCGATTTCTAATGTGTCACGATTTGGTATTTGTTGCAGGATGACACACTGAGCTCTCTCTATTGACCAAACACTGATAGCAACACCGTAGCAAACCTATGCCACATAATGAAAGCAAGGTATGTGTAATAGTGATATGACGCTGTGCTTGGATATCAAAATGATTAATGGGATATCATCCATGATTCACTTGCCCACTATCTATGTAGCGAACAACTGAGCTCTTGTCGGTTTGCAGTTGTGCACGAAGTCCATTGCAACGCATTTCTCCAACCAACTGAAAAGTAGAGGTCTGCCTTTAGGCTTTGGCTGGTATAAAAATGGGTAGTTAGTAGTTACATTTCTTACATACATTCGGTGGTTTATTATAAGAATCTCATTAATTAAAAAAAATAATAATAATACAGTGTAATTAGGTATAGTAGTATAAAATAAAAATGTTTTAACAATATTTATCGGTTTAATGTCGTCGATTTTGTTATGTGATTTTGTTATGTGATGGCACCATTTGTTGGGGAATGGGGGAGATATATGATATGCGACCGTTTGCAGCGGGGAACGTCCATGTGGAGACCATTGGTAGTGGTTGTCAGTATGAATACAAGACGACAGATTATATTGGCAGAGGAGCCTTTGGTATTGTCTACAAAGCCACTGTCACAAAGCAAGGGAATCCGTATGATTTTGATTTTGCAGCTGTCAAGGCTGTTTATTTCCATAATGAATACGAACTTTTTGCTTCGCCTGAAAAGCGG